ATCGCCACCGACTTCTTCATCTGGTCAACCCCTCTGACCTCTTTCCTCGCCTGACCCCAACTTCCTCCTTCTGACTCTCCCCCTCTGACTTCTCTCTGATTTTCTCCTCTGACCTTCTTCCTCTGACTACCCCCTCTTCTCCCTCTGCCTGTCCCAATCTCCTCCATCTGACCTGCGAGCTCCCCAGTTTTTCACCCTCTGATCTCCTGACCACTTCTCTCTGATAACCCCTGACCTCCTCCCTCTGGGCCTCCCTTTCATCCCAAAATAGCAAGGCACTGGTCTGGCCCAATCAGACCCTAGTCCCAGCCATCCCACCAGCCCCACCCCACGCAGCCTGGCCAACACTAAGTGGAACCACATGGTTTGGGCAGGGGAGAGGGCTTCCCCTGGGCCTAAAGGCCTTGCGCGCACTCCCCTCCCCCCACAGTCTGTCCCACTGACCCCCTGACCCAGCCTCTTGGCAGGAATAAGATTCTGTCAGATCTCCCCATGACCTCACCCTGGGGGCAGCACTGCTGACCTCACTGTTAGGAGCATGAGTGGGGGAAGGGGACAAATAGGGGGAGAGAGAGTCTTGGATGAGGGTCCCCCCTTCAAGCTCCTCCAGGATCATCATTATCTAGACTGCACAGAACCCTGTTCCAGACTCTACAGAACCTGCAGTGCCTCCCCTTTCCTTTCCCCACCCTCCCTCTCTCTGTCCCACTTTCTCTGTCCTCTCTCTGTGTCCAACTCTGAATCTCAGCCTCTCCTCCCTCCCTCCCTCTCTCTCTCTCTCTCTCTCCCTCTCTCCCCCCCCCCTCCGCTTCATATACGTGTGGGGAGTTGGATTACTCCCCATCTCTTTCTCCCCATCTTCATCTCCCCCAACCCTGCTGCCACTACCCATCTCTAATTGCCCGGTCTGTGGCTGGGCTGTCATTAAGAGGTATTTGCGTTACAGCCTCCTGGGGCTAAGATCTGGGCTCCCAGGCTCTACTGACCACAAGGGTCATTCCTTCCTGGAACCATCATTCCAGTCACCCCCTCTCCAGGCTGGAATCCAAGGAAAGGCTGAGGGCCATGCCCCACCTACTGTGGCTCTCCCCCTCACTCAGACCCCAGCTTCTGTGCGCTCTATGCAGTGAGAAGGGGTCTCCCATCAACCAGCTGCTCATTCATATGTAAAAAGTCCTTCCCAGCATCTAGCCCAAGTGTCTCCTGCTTCACTCTTGTGTCCCTTCTGTAATGACCTTTCAGAACTGACTGCCCTTTCTTTTCGTGGCTGGCTTCGTGACAAGGAGACACACAAGAGGCATTGAGTCCTGCCTGCAGGGCCAGGGTGTGGGGGTCTGTCAAGGACCCAGTCTGCCCTTCCCCACAGACCCTTCCTGTGCTGCTCAGGGAGACACTGGGTAGGTTCTAGGTTGTGGAGGGAGACAGACAAGGACTAGCCACGGATCCCCTCAGATGTATAGAACATATTTGTAGGTGTCTGTGCAAGTGTGCATATGAACTATTGGGTGCATGAGATTGTGCATGTGTGTGTGACTGAGTAGAACAGGGAATGGCTGCGTGTGTGATTTGTTAATGTGTTTACATGTGTGCAAGTATCTAGCCTATGGTGGAGAGACTAGATGCAGTTTGACATGAGGCTGTATGTCCATGAGAGCTGGGGTCCTAGCAGTGAACTTGGAGTCCTGTAGGTGGGTCTGCCCTTGTAGTAGCTCCCATTGAGATGGGGAGTATGGTTATATGTAAAAGCGTGGACAAATCATCAAGTAGGTGACTGGTTCTGAACAGTGGCCATGTTATATGAATGACAGTGGGAGCAAATGTGAGAGTTTGAAAGCAGAAGTGGGAGGGAGACAAAAGCTGTGATCATGTCGTGGGTGACTGATGGGATTGCCTGGGCATGGGCACCCAGTGTTTAACATTCCTGGGTTTCCAAGGGGTCTATATTCTTCATGGATGCTGGAGACTGAAGACCTGTGCCTATGGGTGAGCGTGAGAATGGAGCATAGGCCAACTTGAGGTTATCCCCGCGAGCAGGCACTTTCCTGGACTCGAGAGAAAGTGAGGGAAGTGAGGTGAAGGGTATGTGTGCTGGGGAGCTGAGTGTGAGTAGGCAGGAATTTCTGGGAGGGCCTGACCCGGGATCTCTCAGACCTGGGAAGTTCCATAGATCACCACTTGAGGGACCACGACCTTCCGGAACCCCGCCCCCCACCCTAGTCCCGTGGGGCGGGGCTTGGCGTCCAGCCAGATGCGTGCAGCTGGGCATGCGTCAGCTCTGACTCACCCATGCGACTGCCCCCGGGACCCCAAAGGGGCCCCTGAGAAATTCCTCAGAAAAAACACCAGAGGTTCGCTCAGCAGCTGGGAGGGGGGTGAGAGAAACTTCCACTCCCGCCCCCGCCCGCTCTCCGCTCCGCCCCGCCCCGCCCGGCCTCCCGCCCGGCCTCGCCCCTCGCCGCGGGCCTCCCGGGGCCCTGTCCATGGTGCTGACCGCGGCTCTGGGGACAGCAGGGTGGGGAGGCGGTGGGTGCGCGCCAATTTGGGCAGAGGAAGAACTGGTTGAGGCCAATTTGGGAGAGACGCAAAGGGAATTCTGAGTCCCCAATTAGCCCCTTCCCATACTCGCCCCACTCACCATCACCCTCAGAATCATCCCATTCCATTTACACCTCCAAATCACAAACACACGCCCCTCATAGGTTCACACAGAGACACACAAACGATTATTCTCCAAATCAGCTGCACACGCAAACATACTTGTACACCCCCAACTCACAATCACTGACCCAGGGATCACCCTGTCACCCATATTCATACAGTCATCAATTCCCACACCCAAGTATACGCACAGTTTCACTCTAAATGGACACACACACACACACACACACACAAAAACACCTATAAATTGCATTCATTCCCAAGCACTCACAGCAAAACATGGTCACAAACCGCTCCTCCCTCCAGCTGTCACACCCACAAATCACCCAGAGTAGGACACCAGCATGGGAACATCACAGCGTGGGCCACACACGAGGCGGGTGCCTTGACTCCCCCCATGCACTCCCCCTATTCCCAACTCCATCCAGTCTAGGACCCTCGCTGGACCAGCACCCTGGGTCTATCTATCTTCTTCCCCTCGGCTCACCCGCCTGTATCCAGGGCAGAAACTGCAGCGAGACCAGGAACAGGCAGAGGCCAGCCTGCAGCTGGCCCAGGCCCAGGCCCAGGCTACTCCCCATCCCAGCGGGGCCCGCTCTCATGGCGGGGACCCGACAGGGAGGCTGCGGGGCGCGGCGACTCCACGGGTTCGGCGCACTCGCTCTCCGCGGCTGGCCCGCTCCACTGGGGATGAACTGAACTGCCCAAAACCCCGCCCTGGCCTCGCCCAGCAGCAGCTCGGACTGGCGGGACTCGCTAAAGTGGGGGTGGCTGACAGCTGGGGGTGGGGGAGTTGGGAAACTTTGTGCTGTGCACTGATTGGCCGACTTGGGTGGAGCCTTGGGCCGGGAGCTGGGCCCTTCTTGCCCCACCCACAGTGGAACAGGACCGTTACTCCCACCCAGCCTTAGAATTCGGGGTCCCAACCTTACCCCAAATTCTTCCTTCTTAACAGCCACCCAAAGGTATCTTAACTTCATTTGAATCCTTAGCTTCCACCTATGCCCCTGGAATTACACACAGAACATCTTAATACTGATTTTTTTTTCTGTCTTACCCAAGCCCTCAAGTGGGGTCCCTCACTCCAAACTCTCACCCACCTGCCTGACCCCAGTGGTACATGTGCAAAATAGGAGAGGTACCACCCTCATCCTAAAGCTTTTCCTTCATAAATAAATCTCACCCCAGTTTTCAAAATGGGGTTCCCAAGCTTTCTCCAAGTCCTCATCTCTCCACCCAAATTCTAGAAAAGAATGTCCTGACCCCACCTCTAAACCCTCACCACAAATTCCAAAACACCACTTTCAAGTTCCCCTAAACCCTATATTCAAACAAACTGTCCCACTCCTTCCCTAGCCCTTCTCTCCCTCCCGCTGGTCCCCAAATGGACACTCCAGTCCCAATCATTACTAGTGCTCCTTTCAAATGCAGGGTCTGGCCTTACCCCTAAAGCAGGAGACTGCCACAAGGAAAGCAGGGATGGGTCCCTGCCATTCCTGTGGTGAGACAGAGACTCTCATCCCAATAACACCCCCTAAGTGTAGATGGAGCTGTCAGTGCAATTGAACAAGCACAGACAGGCAGAATCTGAAGGCGCTTTTACAGGGAGGAACCCAAGGGGCGTATCCTGGGCCCAGAACTTCTCCCCCCTTTGGGGAAAAAGAAACCAGCATTGCCTCCCTCCTAGTCTCCAGCTCCTCAGACAAAGAGTCTCTGTGTCCCTGGAGAAGAGAGGGTGGGGCCCCATCTGGCCTGAGAGGGAGATGGAGGCCCCTGGGGCGGAGGGAGGAAGGGGAATCTCCCTAAGCTTCTCCTCCTCCCTCCCTAGGGACAACTGAGGCTGAGACTTCTCCAGCTAAGGCTCTCACAGAAGTCTTGCCTTGCTGGGAAGTTCTTCCTAAAGTCTAACCCTGCATTCTGACTTTTCCGTATTCCCTCTTTGAAATGACCCAGGAAGAGCCACACTCTGCCCAGAATAGACTGCAAGAGAATGTCCCTGATTAGTTCCCTGTGCTCCCTAAACTCGCCCAGCCCTGAATATTTACAACCATAATAAAAATAAAAAAATAAAAAACAGGAGTGTCGCAGTGCTTTAGGACATCCTTTTCCCCCTAACAGCAGTAGGAAAAGAAATTTTTGACAAAAAAAAGTGAGGTGTGTTGAGGTTAAGTAATTCCCTCCAGTAGTCTGCCCAGGGTCAGTTCAGAATTGGGGTCCTTATGGGGCCCCTTTATCCTGCAGGGGATCACGGGAGGGTGCTTAGGAGGGGCAGATGAGCCAAGGCTGGGCAGCAGCAGTCAGTGGCTGGCCAGCGGCAGTCACGAGTCCAGGCAGAGATCAACATGGCTGCCATGCCCCGGACTGTGTTGATCTCCGGCTGCTCCACAGGGATTGGCCTGGCACTTGCGACGATGCTGGCTCATGACCCCCTACAGCGTTACCAAGGTCAGGGACCCAGAGCACTGGGAGGGGTAGGGGTGAGTTCAGCTTTTCCACCAACCCATCCCTTCCAGTTGTCTTTGTGGGCTGGGGGAGGACCCAGGACATATGAGTTCCCTTTTCTGCCTATCCTGTGAGTCAATCCTTAATTCAGCTAACATTTCTTGAGCACCTACTGGGTGCCAGGCTCTGTTCTGGGTGCTGAGAACACAGATGTGAACAGATAAAAATCTCTGTGCTGGGTAGTGTTGTAGTAAAGGAAGAGAGAGAGACCTGCTAATAAACAAACACTAAAATTTTATAATAAGTGCTAAGAAACCAAATAAATCTGGGGGAGCATGGCAGGAGGTGGGTGATGGGAGATACTTGGAGAAGAATTTCTCTAGGTTTTGCTTTGGACATTCCCTCCCCCATCACTCCCCCAATTACTGGATAAGCCTCTTAGTGTCCCTGACTGAGGTGGGGGAGGTGGGGGAGTATTTAAAGATCTAGGAACTTGGCCTTCTGAATCTGTGGAGTAAATTGCCCAACCTGCACCCCAACAATGAGAACTTCTGACCCAGAATAAGCTGGAGCCCACATGGGCAAAGGGCTGTTACCTAAGACAAGGCTACTGGGGGTAAGGGCCCTGCCCCACTTGGCAGAGCTGTTTCTCCCAGCCTTCTGCCCTCTGTCTTAGAGACATGCACAACTTTGGGAGTGACAGCCTGAGTGCCAGTGTCTAGAAAGGAAACTGAGCTGTGTGACAGTTGGATGAATGCTGACATTGCTAAAGGATGATGTTTATTGTTTACCATGTATCATGCTCCCTATCTAAGTGTTTTATATCTATTATGTCATTTAATCCTCATATCACCCTAGTGAAGTGGCTGCTATCATTTGCCTCCTTTTAGAAATGAGGAAACTGAGGTACAGACTCCAAAGGTCCTTGCCAAAGGTAGCCCAGCTGGAAAATGGCAGAAGCTGGATTTTGAACACAGGCAGTTGTGCCCCTTGGCCCTGTGTAGATCATGTGGCTCCATCCATCACCGCAGCATCCTGAGTCACTCAGGCTCACAACAGTCTGCAGATGCTCCCAGGCATGTGCATTTGTGGTGATGGGTGCACACAGGGGGAGGAGGTGAGCAAGCGTGTGAGCTCAACTCCGACAAGCCCAGGTTCCAATCTCAGTTCCAACATTTGCTAAGGGTAGGACAAGCATCTTTCTCCCTTCTGCTAATTTTGGGATTTCTCCATGTTGTCTCTCTGTCTGGGCTAGCTTGCGCTTCCTCCCAGTATGGTGGCCTCAGGACAACTGGGTTGCTTCACAGTGACTGAAGTTTTTGAGAATGAATATTCCAGTCGGCAAGCCAGATACTTTAAGCACAGTTTGTGAGTTAATCTCCAAAGCCACACAGCATCACTTTCACTGTCTTCTATCCCTTCCTAGCTAGTAAGCTAGTAACAAGATTCAAGGAGAGGGGAAGTAGATTTCATGTCTTGAAGGAAGGGAGGGAAGTTTCTAGAAGGGCATTGCGATGAGAAATAATGCTGTGACCATCTTTGGAAAACAAGTCATGGGATTTTTGAGAGGATTAGAGATAGTGCCTATAAAGGTATTTGGCACATGAGATGTTCAGTAAATCTGAACTTATATTGATGTATTGGTGGCTATTCACACTTACATGTGCTCATATGCACATTTGTTGATGCTAGGTGTGTGTGTATTGCTTTCTCAAGACAATCTGTCTCATTTATTTTGTTGTCTTACCTAGTAGGTAATGAATTCCATGAAGGCAGAGACTTTGTTACTTGCAATAATCTTAGCATCTAGAATAGCATAGTGTGTAGGAGATGATCCCTAAATGTTTGCTAGATCTATATATGCATGGGTGGAGGTATATGTGAATGTATATACACAAGTATGCATTTATGGTTGTGTGGTGAATACAAGTGTGTAAGCCTATGGTTCTTCCTCCCTCCGTGACTGCTCATATAAGTCCACACACAAGGAAGAGAACTACTCCCTACCCCAACTCTGCTCTCTGTCCCCAGTGATAGCCACCATGAGGGACCTGGGAAAGAAAGGGATGCTGGAGGCAGCTGCCGGGAAAACTCTGGGCCACACACTCACTGTGGCCCAGATGGACGTGTGCAGTGATGAGTCAGTGGCCCACTGTCTCAGCTGCATCCAGGGAGAAGTGGACGTGCTGGGTGAGTCTGAGTAGCCACTGGGGTCACGTACCCCTCCCTGGCCTTAGTACCTATCCTCATCATAGCAAACCCTCTCAAGTGTCTGAGTACCAGCCTCTTTGCTTCATAAACAACTTCTGTCCCTGAGAAGAAGGGTACACAAGTTGACTAAGAGCCTGCAATGCCAATCAGTTTACTAAAGATATGTGAAATAATCTCAGACCTGGGATATGGTGGATTTTATTAAATAGAACTTCTCACATATGGAGAAAGCCGAATGTGGTTGGAAAAATTACTTTTGTGACTCATTCAGGAAAAAGAGCATGATGAGGAAGCAACTCATGGTCTGCAAAAGGCCTGCTGCTATGGAGGGTGGGTGTGGTTGCTTTGATGCAATTTGGTGTTAGAACTTAATTGCTCATGCATTAAGGGGAAGATGTTCTCAGAAGCCCTTCCCCATCAAAGGCTCAAGGTCTGCTATAATAGAAGCTAAATTGTATTTAAGGATCATCAAGGGTCCACATTTGCCCACCCAAGATATCCTGCACTGGCTCTGGCCTTGGGTTGGGGGTGGGGGTAGGATGATTCAGGGAATATCCCTGGAAGAGTGACACTAGAAGGGTTGGGGGGACCTTAAAGTAACCCTCAGAAACCCTTGCTTAGTGAATAATGCTGGAGTGGGCCTGGTGGGGCCCCTGGAAGGGCTCAGCCTCGCTGCCATGCAGGATGTATTTGACACCAACTTTTTTGGAGCTGTCCGTCTGGTCAAAGCTGTGCTTCCTGGCATGAAGAGAAGACGACAGGGCCACATTGTGGTGGTCAGCAGTATCATGGGGCTTCAGGGTGAGCCCTGGGAACACCCCCCCCAACACTGGGAATGCCTATAATGTCTGACCCTCCTCAGGTTGGAAGGATGGCAAATAGGTTTTAGCTCATATTCCAAATGAACCTGTGTTGAGAATGATTCTGAAGCTCAAAAAGAAAAAGTTCTGGCATAGATTAACTATGTCTTCCATGGCACAGGACTAGACAGTGGTGATACAGATGCTGCAATGGCAATCCACATCCCAGCCTCAATCCTGCTTTTGGACACCTCCAAAAATCTCTCTCAACCATCCCCTGAGACCCAAAAGAACACCAGAATTCTTTCCCCTGAGACTCCTTACCAAAAACACCCCCACCTCCTACAAGGCCCCAGAGATGTCTCGATTTGGAACTCTGGATTTCCACCAAAAAAAGAACAGTGATTGATTAGTGATGTCTGCCATGGGTCTACTATGAAGGACACCTACTTGCCATCCATGCTCCTGGGTCCTTCTTCCTTAAACCCCTCCAGACTCTTCCTTCCTTTAGAAATTCCCTTGGATCTGCCCCCACTCCCAGCAGTCCCCTAAGGAACTGAGGGGATTAAGTTACCCTGTTGTGGAGAAGCTGCATCTACTCAACCCCACTGCTTTGGTCCCTCATCCAGCTGCACCTCCTGACCTCATAGGCCACATTCACTGCTCAACAAGACCTGATAAGGGTTCTGCTACACCAGGCTTGTCCTCAAGGATCCTAGGAATCCCATGTGCAAGAGACACAGGGCTTTAGAGGGTGGAGGGAAATAGGGGAATTTCCTGGGCCCAGGGCAGAGGCAGCACTGCTGGGAAGAGTTGGCATCCCAAGACAACCTTCTCCCAACTCCAAATGCTTCCATCACACAATACCAGACACCAGACCCACAGATCCTAGATATCCCTTCATTCTGACTCCAAACCCTCTCTCTGTCACAAAACCCCAACCCTCTGAACCCACAAAGTCTATCACCCAGATCCCTCAAGGGCCTTGCATTCTTCTAATCCTCTCAGGTGTCATGTTCAATGAAGTCTACGCAGCCTCCAAGTTCGCTCTGGAGGCATTCTTCGAGAGTTTGGCTATCCAGTTGCTCGAGTTCAATATCTAGTGAGGCAGGCACCTGGGCAGTGAGGGGGAGATGGGAGACACTTGGGCAGTGAGGGGGAGATGGGAGACAGTGAGGGGGGAGGGAGGCAGTGATGGAACCATTACAAGAAAAGGGGGGTAGTGAAGGAGATGGGGGATGTGGTGGGATGAAATATGCAATGATGGGGGAATGTGGAGGGGCTTGAGGGGGAAAAGGGACCAATAATGGACAAAATGGGGTAGCAATTATGTGGGGCCCAGACCCCTTTCCCTTACTCCTGTTCCCAGCATCTCCCTGGTGGAGCCAGGCCCAGTGATCACCAACTTTGAGAGGAAAATTTGGGAGCAGGTTTCCACCTCAGAGTTCCCAAGCATGGACCCCGATACCCTACACTACTTCCAAGACTTTTACCTCCCAGCCTCTGAGGAAATTTTTCGCTCCATAGGACAGAGCCCACAAGATGTAGCTCAGGTGAGTGGTATGCCCAAATCTCCAAGACAAGGCTCAGGTGTGAGGGGCCCTCTCCCTACTGAATCCCCCTCCCTATGCTCCAGAGCTCAGGGCTCCAATCCACAGGTCATTGTCAAGGTCATCGGCTCAGCCAGACCAGCCCTGCGCAAACAGACCAATGCCAGATACATCCCATTGACGGCACTCAAGGCTGCAGACCCCTCAGGCAGAGTGTACGTGCAAACAGCCCACCGCCTGCTCTTCCGCTGGCCACGCCTCCTCAGCCTTGGCCTCAGCTGCCTGGCCCGCAGTTGTCTCAGCACGCGGGTATGGCCCAGTGAGCAGAGCCTCCCCCAGCACTCCCCCCTTGAATAGCTAGGCCTTTTCAGCCTGCACCCATCTCAGAGACTGTACAATCTTGCCTCATCCATTCATCAAATTACTCCTGATCCCCTCTGTGCCTGGGCATTGCTGGGGCCCCAAAGAGCCCTGGGCCCTCCCTCTATAGTCTTAACCCTCCATGGTTAAGACTGGGGTACAGAGGGAATCCCTGGACTGAGGCACCCAGAGCAGGGAACCAGGTCTGTGTCTGGGAACACAAGGGAGTCCTCCGGGAGGAGAAAGTATTGTCGATGGACCACAAGGATGAGAGACTGACTCACTCACCCTCAGGACTTCATTATCTTGGGCCTGGGAATACAAAGACATCCAAACCCCCATTAGACACACACACACACACACACACACACACACACACACACACGGAGCTGGGCTGGCTAAGGGGAGTCACCAGCTTTTCTGGTCACACACAAGTGTCTATGAGGATGTAGAGAAGTTGGGAGCTTCATGAACTGCTGCTGGGAATGTAGAACAATGAGTCACTGTGGAAGATACTATGGAAGTTCCTCAAAAAATCAAACAGAATGTTCATGTGACCCAACAATTCAATTTCTGGATGTTACCCCAAAATGACTGAAAACAGATCTCAAAGGGATGTAAGCACCCCCCTGTTCACAGCAGCGTTATTCACAGTGGCCAAAAGGTGCAGCAACCCAAATGCCCACTGAGGAGTGAATGAATAGGCATGTGTGGCAGGTCCACCAAGTGGAATGTTACTCGGCCTTATAAAGGCAGGAGATTCTGATACAGGCTACAACATGGGAGAACCTTGAGGACTTTATGTTCAGCAAAATGAAGCAGCCACAAGAAGACAAATGCTGAATGATTTCAATTCTGTGAGGTCCTAGAGGAGTCAAATTCATAGTGACAGGACGTAGAATGGTGACAAAAGAGGATGGGGAATCATTGTACACTGGGGCCAAAGTTTCAGTCCTTCAAGAGGAAGCATCTATGGGCAGGTGAGGGGGGTGTTGTCACAACAGTGTGAATGTTCTTAACACAACTGATATGCACACTCCAAAGTGGTTTAAAAGGTAAATTTTGTGCTATGTATACTTGACCACAACCTAAAACACTTTCAGAACAATAGGAGTCCCATCCGAACCCCAAGACAGTGTCTCCTCCTCTGGAGAATCAGAAGCACATGGACTGTGGGAGTAAGCGTTGGCTCTGCCTCTTGTTCACTGGGTGACCCTGGGAAGGTGGCCCTTTCTACAAAGCAGGGCAGCAATGGTGCCAAGACAGCAGGAACAGTCCCTGCACGCTATGTGGCTCACCATCAGCTGCCGCCTTTCAATACGAGGCTCCTGGGGAAGTGCTTCACTTGTATTTGCTCTTCAGCCTTATGTAATGGGAGCACTCAGAACCTGCCCGGTTCATAAACAAATAAACTGAGTCTCTTGTGACATCTTCTAGGCAAAGGGGAAGTGTTCCAAACCCTAGAATATTTAGGAGCGCATCCCTTAGAGTCAGTGAAAAAATAATGGGGCTACTTCTTATTTTTTATTAAATCAACTCCTCCCATCTGCATGTTGGGTTTTTGACACCATGCAGAAGCACCTGCAAATGAATATGTGAAATTTGATGGTGGGTGTGGTTGCACAACCTTGTGAACATATCAAAAGCTGCTGAATTGTGCACTTTAAAAAAAAATGGTCATTTTCACAGCATGTGAATTACATTTCAATTTTCAAATAAAATTAATTGTTAAAAAGAAATATGAAACACATGTGTACAGGAGGGCTTTGATTTGCCTCAAGAGGCTCACCCCAAAAACTCCATCAACCAATCTCCTCTCCTTTTGGCTTTGGTTGTGTTGGGTTGTGCCAGTAGGAAGCATCAACAGGAGATCAAAAGGTTGGCGGAGACACACCACTTCCCTCCATGTAGGTCACTGGGGATTACAGCATCTCTCCACCCCCAGTTTCTGGGAACCCCTGCTTCCCATCACCCGTGTTGGTCAAAGACAGTGACAGGACTGCAGAGTTGTAGCAGGATGCCACCACACCCCAGTTACTCACTTTGAATGTATTATCTCTTTCCATCTGGAACCCTGAATGATGTAATATGTGTATATTCCAGAGTACACATCACTAAAACATTCCAGATATTTGCTGCCTGCCTCAGCTCAAAAGTTTCCGCTATCCTAAATGATGTCCAGTATTCCCTTTCTTTTTAAAGAACTCCCTTAAATAATCTATTTTAAAGGAAAATTGCTCTTGTAGCCAAGAAGGAAAAGCCATCATAATTGCCATAAGTGGAGCCATATTTGAGGTTTATTTGTGGGTGAGCATACAGTATTCCAAACCCCTGCTCATGAACTCCTGATGCGAGAGAACATCAGGCTTCTGCCAGATTCTCTTGAAGCTAGAGTGATGTCAATTTCACTCATCAGAAGCACAGGATTTACCATTGAGAGCCAACCACCAAAAAGAAAGACAGAGTCAGAGAGGAAAGGGAGGGAAGGGACAGGAGATTGGCATAGCCACGGTTCGCAGCAAAAGCCAGAACTGCCAAGTGACTTCGAGGGGAAGATTTAAGTTCTCGCCTCATCTGTACCCCCACTTTGTCTCTTTCCATCTTCCAAGGCTGGTGATTTCTTGAGACACCAGAATCCACCTAATAAATTCTCTTGCAGCTTAAATCACCCTGAGTTACTTTCTGTTATACATAAGGAAGAATCATCGGTTAGCAACTATGAAAACAAATGTGGTGGAGGAAAAGGCTGTTATTAAATTCTAGCAAGATGTGATCACCGACCAACAAAGACCGGCCAATGCTCAAAGGTGCTAAAGACAGAGTAACCTTCGGCTCTGGATTTTGACTCCCTCCACTCTCCCCACCATCTTCCCCATGTTAGCTTTTCTCTTTGCTCAAGCCAAAAATCCAGGAGAACGCTATAGTTGCTATCCTTCACACCTCACAGCTAATCTATTAGGAGGTCTTGTTCCATTGACCTGCAAAATACATTCAGAACCAAGCACTCTGCAGTACCTTCTTGGCCCCCAGCCTAACCAGTCACCATCATTTCTCACCTGGAGTATTGCACCAGCCCCCTCCCTACGTCTGCATTTGCCTAGCTACAATCCATTCTCCACAAACATCCCAAAGAATTCCTGAAACATCTTCTCAGTAAGTAAAATTTTTAATTAAAGAGTATTTTACAAAAAAAAAAAATCTGTTCTCAACTGACCAATTCCTGATCCACCACCCCTGACTGTCATAACTTGATTATTGGTCCAGATTACACAAGAAAAAAACCTGATGCGTAGATAAACAAACCATAGTATGCACACACAGAGGAATATTATTCAGTCTGAAAAAGAAGGAAATTCTGAAACATACTACAACCTGGAGGAACTGCAAGGCCAGTAGGCCAATGATATAAACCAGTCACAAAAGGACAGTTCTATTGTGTGAGTCCATCCACGTGAGGTGCCTAGAATATGCAAATTCATGGACCAAAGTGAAATAGTTTTTCACAGGGGCTAAGAGGGGGAAATGAGGAGTCATAGTTTAACGGGGACAGAGTTTCAGTCTGGGAAGGTGAAGAAGTCCTGGAAATGGATGGTGGTGACAGTTGCACAACTGTGTAAATTGTATTAATGCCACTGAACTGGACACTTAAAAATGGATAAAACAGTAACTTTTACATTGCATATGTTTCATCAAGATTTTAAAGTAAATGTGGAATATTTTAATGGACCATTTAACAGAGCATATACTTCTTAAACTTTTTCACAAAAAAACAACAGAGGCTTTACACATACACTTGAACTTTAGCTCTGGCCCTGAACATTATATCTTGGAAGTTTTACTATATCAGTCCAAGAAGACAGTTTAATTCCTTTGCACAGCTGCAAAATATTCCATTGTGTAGACAGATGATAATTCATGCAACCAGCCCCACAATGATGAATCTTTGGGCGCTCTCCAATTTTTGCTATTATAAAAATGACTGTAATGAATAATCTTGTGTGCATACATCATTACACACATATGCAAGTGTTTCAGCTATGGGGCTACTTGGCTAAAGAAATCATGCATTTGTAATTTTTATAAATATTACAAAATTCATTTCTAATGGGGAGGACCAACATCCATATGAAAGCATGATTGCTTCCCCAAGGCCTCACCACACCGTGTGATATCAGTCTTCTCAATGTTTTCCAATCTAATGGGTAAAAACTAACATCTCACTTTTCTCCTGATTTAATTTTTATTTCTTCTATGAGTGAACTCAAATGTTTTATCACATTACAGAACTTTTAAGAATTATTCCTTTATTGTAAGATTTTTATTTTATTTATTTTCACATAGAAGAACTGGGCTATAGGTCAGAGGTGCAGGGGTGAGAGGATTCACCAGAGACAGAGTGGGGAGAACAGGCAGACTGACTGAAATACACTGCTGAGGGGAGCAGCGGGTGAGACAGGAGAGGTCTGCTGTGCCATGGGGGTCAGCTCCCTGGCCAGGGAAAGAATTCATGCTGCAGTGGCTGCCTATAGCTTCATAGTGCTGAGACTTAATCCCTTCCACCACCAGGGAGGCCCTAAAGATCTTTTTTCTGCTCCCTAAACCATCATGCCCTGTTTTACTTCCAGGTCTTTGCACAAAAATATGTTCCATTCTCCTGAAACAAAACCATGTTCTCTCTTCCATACTGAAAATACTTCACCTGGTTACTCTTACTTGACTGAGACTTTCAGATCTCAGTCTAAATGCTGCTTCCTCCAGGAAGCCTTCCTTGACTCACCAGGCTGAATTAATTAGGAGGCTCCTGTGGGCCCTCATAACTGCTTATTTATGAGTAGTTCTTCCTGACCAAGTTGTAAGTTCTGTGAGGGTGCATATTATTGTAATTTCACGGCGCTTTCAGACCCAAAAAGCATTAATACTAGGTAATCAACCCCAAATGTGACTGCTGAATTATTCTTCCTCCCCTTTTAGCAGCCAGCTTCTCATCGCCAGAGCAGAACTCCTTGGACCAAGAAGGGAGGCATGTGATGCCCTATGGGATCAGGGAGCAAGGCCAGTTCCAGAAGCCTTGGGGAAAACAAGTGGGCGGTCAGAAGCTTTCAGGGAACCAAGAACTGACCTGAGGAGACTTGGCTGAGCCTGTAAGGGAACAAACTGGGCATATCCTGGCAGCTCTGTCCACTGAGAAGCTCCAGACACCTCCTACTTGAGAAAGAAACGGCACTTTTCTGGGTCTCAGTTTCCTCTTCTGTAAAGTGGAGGCATTCTGGGCAAGAAAATCCCCACTAAGTGCCAGAACGTAGGTGTTTCATAAATGACAGATATTAATTGCAATGTTATTGGTGTGATTCCTTCCCTCCTAGGCCTTGCCTGCCTTTCCCTGGAAGCCTTGGGTTGGAAGGCCTGGACGAGGGGGCGAAGAAAACAGAGGACACACATTCCCCGCCCCACCCCCACCCGTAAGGCCCCCCGGGGTTCCAGGGAGGGGAAGACAGCGGAATCTGAGCTGCCAGGGCCGCTGCAGCTGTTCTGGGCTTGGGGTCAACATCCCCGCCCTCCCCCACCGGCATTCCTGCGGAGGGGGCTGAGCGCCGCAACACCCTGATCGGAGGCTCGCGGGCGCCCTCTCCTGGCCAAGGGGAAGTCGCGCTACTCCTCTTGTATCGGACTTGGGTGGAGCCCGCAAGCGGCTCTCCCAAGGATTCCCTCTCAAATCCGGGTTCGGAGCTCAGCTCGATTACTTAACCTGCTGCCATGTGGGTCAGCTGGGCGTGGCATTCGACTTCCCTGTGCCTTTGTTTCCTAGCTGCACAGTTCGGGGCAGAAGATTTCATCTTCTATCTAGTGCCTCAGATTTTCGCCTCTTCTGCTGCTCATTAATACCCAAAGACAATTTCTCCCTTCCTGGATCCACTCCAGAGTCAAAATAGAGACTCAGGGAACTGTACACCTGTTTCAAGGCCCAATGTGGACGTCTGGCATGGAGATGAAGATGTAAAGGAGAAAGATCACCCCCAGCTGAGGAAGAACAGAACAGAGTCCTGAGATCCCCTGAGAGGCCAGAACATGACACCCCAAATGGACCCCAATGTTCTAGAACCTTCCAAATTGGGTCCTTCCTGATCCAGGCCTTAATGGGATTCTGATAAGACTTAAGAGCATTCATTACCTATCCTTGCAGCCCACATGCCTGACCCAGGACCAGGTGCTCACCCTCCCAGCCCTCACTGTGACATCTGTACGTGGTTGGTAATTCTTACTTCAGTGTGGCTGTGAGGTTTCTGTGAATGCACATGATACATGGAAAGCAGTGGCTGGCATATCGTAGGTGATGATAAATGCCTAAGGAATAAATGACTACCCGGCCCTCCTTGTTTCTGACACACTTGTCTTTCCAGCTTTACCAAGAGTCTAAAAAATGACAACACAGGGGCCTCCCTAGTGGCACAAGGGGTTAAGCACAGCACTGTGAAGCAATCCACAGCTACCGCAGCGAGAGTTCGATCCCTGGCCAGGGAGGTGACCCACATGGAGCAGCAGACCTCCCCTGTCTCACCTGCTGCTCCCCTCAGCAGTGTATTTCAGTCAATCTGCCTGTTCTGCTCCCCACTCAGTCTCTGGTGAACCCTCTCACCCCCTCCCCCACACCTCTGACCTGAACCCCAGTTCCTGTATGCATAAATAAATCTTTCTAAAAAAAATAACAACACATGCAATCCAATTCATAGGAGGCTCTGAGGTTGGAGGAGAAAATGCACTGTAGGCCCTTAGTAGTCACTTCTCAGTCAGTGACCACTCGGCGAGGGCAGGGGTTTTGAGTGTCCCTGTTTAGCTCAGTAGGGCCAGGCTTGTAGTAAATACCTGATGATTTTTAGATCACTGTATATTATAATTATTTGAGGGGGCCAGGGGCCTCCTGATAGGCAAGACTCCCCAAGCTGGAGATGCTGATGTTCCTGAAGAAGGAAGAGACAGAGAAATTTGTCTGGACCCCTTCTGCTTCTAACAGACAGACACCACAAGCTGGTTCCACATGTTTAATAGGCACGATAAGAATTACTTCAGGGGCCTCCCAGGCAGCGCAGTGGGTTGAGCATAGCACTGTGAAGCTGTCCGCAGCCTCTGCAGTGTGAGTTTGATTCCCGGCTGGCCAGAGAGATACCCACATGGTGCAGCAGACCTCTCCTTTCTCACCCGCTACTCCTCTTAGCAGTGTATTTCAGTAGATCTGCCTGATCTGCTCCCCACCCTCCCTGGTGAATTCTCTCACCTCCCTGCACCTCTGGCTTACACCCCAGTTCTTGTATGCATAAATAAATAAATCTTTAAAGAAAAAAAAGAATTATTTCAGGACAGAGAAAGCATTCTTCCAGGAATGCCTCAGGCCTGATGTGTTTTCTTCCCTTGTTTAATATGTATAATTTGCCTTCTGGAAAAGATGCCCAGAGAACCCAGCCTGATTTAGGAACAATGGACAGTGTTTGCAAGTTATCAAGTATCATTTTCTCCCAAGGAAGTAGAAAAGCATGGGGTGCATGCTGGGTGCAGAGAGATTGAAAGTAGCAAGGTTTGACAGGTCTATTTCTCAAAAGGTTCCATTACGGAGGGTCACCGAGTCAAGCCTGTGACTGGAAATGAAATCTGCAGAGCCTGTGCCCTCCTTTTGAGAGGACTGCCTGCTGAGCTACCCCCAGACACTCACCAAATGCCCAAGGGCTGAAGTGGAGACAAGGCTGTTTCCAGCCAATCCCAGCCAAGTCCTGAGCCCACAGCCCCACCCACACACCTGCAGGAGGGGAGGGCTCCAGGAGAAGACCCCGTGATTCATGGGAAAATCACCCCCTCCCACTCTGGCCCCCAAGGGGGGAGATGGAACACTTTTTTTTTTTAATAAATTGTTTATTTCTTTTTTTTTTAATTTATGTATACAAGCACTGGGTAAAGTCAGAAGCACGGGAGGATGAGAGAATTCACCAGAGCCAGAGCAGGAAACAGAACAGGCAGACTGAGGATACACTGCTGAGGGGAGCAGCGGGCGGCAGGAGAGGTCTGCGCGCCATGTGGGACCCTCGCCCAGCAGGCGGGGATGGAACCGGTGCTGCAGAGGCTGCGCCACCCGGGAGGCCCTGGAATACTTTTCAATGCAACCATCCAGTCCCCTTTGGAGGCTTGGCTGAGGAGGAGCATCCCCTCCTCCCATTGGATTTGTGGGGATTCCCTCCCCCATATTCGTTTAGATATTAACTCAACAGGAAAAGCCAAGGCAAATAGCCCAGAGCCAGGGCGGACAACAGGACAGACGCCTGTGGTCTGGGGCCCTTTTCACCCTCCCACCATCACGAACATGCACTGGCCACTGGGGATGATTCTACTCTTCTTGGGGATGCCCCTCATCCATGCTGAGCCACTGTGAGTCTGGAGAATTGGGGGGAACCCGGCCAGCTGCTTACACAACTGCCATTTTCGTGATTCCCTGCATGCAACCCTGTCTGTCTCTGCCCTTGCTCCCCCCCACTTGAGTCTCCCCCTGTGTTTTCCTGCGGGCAGATACATCCTGGTGACACCCCGAGTCCTGCGGGTTGGTAGCCCTGAGAACATCCATGTGCAGGCTCACTCAGACTCCAAGAAGCCTCTAGATGGGACCCTGGAGGTGAACATCACCGTGTGGGACTTCCCCTTGAGGAAGACAGTGGTGGCCAGACACCAACTCCTTCTCTCAGCCCAAAACGACTTTATGACCCAGGCACTGGTGACGGTGAGTGGCAGGCCAGGGAAGAGGCCACAGAGGGAGACTGAGCAGCAAGGGTGGAAGGGGTAGACTCTAGAGGGGCTTCCCACAAAGGACACTGGAAAAGAGACACAAGGCCTGGGAGGACCTACTGTTCCTTTTATCTCCTCTCTGGTTAGAAACCCCAACAACCCTAAGTCTGGGCTCCGGGAAGAGTGGGGATTAGCCCATTTGATGCTTCTGTGCCAATTATTAAAAGCGCCCACTGCCGGTGGCTCGGGAAGCTGAGCGGGGCCTGCATTGCGTCCCCAGTCCCACTTCCCGGCCTCTGTGGCTGAATGTCCTCATCCAGCTTGCACAAGCACACGTGGGGACTTCACTCCAAAGGCAGAGCCAAAGGGCACCTGTTCGATTGTTTCTCCGAGATCTGGCACAGGGCTTTGCCCCCAAGGTTGAAGATAACCTAAAGGGCCTGAACATCTCTCCCCAGATTCCTGAGAGCCTGGTATTTCCCCCAAAACCAGGCCAGCAACATGTCATCATCCAGGCAAGCTGGGCGCCCACTTCAGCCTCATCTTTCATGGAGAAGCCTGTGCTGGTGGCTCCCCACGCTGGCTACATCTTCATCCAGACAGACAAGACCATCTACAACCCTGAGCACTTGGGTACTGTGCCCAGGCACTTGACCTGGGGCATGCTCTTTCTCCCAGCCCTGGACTCCCCAGTGCCCAGCATGTTCCCCCTTCCCAGGGTCCCCCCATTTCCCAGGATGCTAGTGCTCATGCTCTTCTCCAAAGCCTAGCCAACACCGAGTCTCCCCTCCACCAGTTCAATACCGGGTGTTTACCGTGAACCACAAGCTGGATCCCGTGAGCCAGACATTCACCCTGGATATCAAGGTGGCCTTTCCTCTTGGGAGGGTGGATCACAGACGTGGGGGTTAATGACACGTTGAAGTCCTGGCCGTAAACTGCTCATCTCCAAATCTACAGAACCCAGAGGGGATCACTGTGCTCAGCCAGGACCTGCTGGCGAAAGAAGGCTTCTTCACAAGCTCCTTCCAGCTCCCTGAGCTCATCAGGTGCGCCATCTGGGGCCCGAGGGGTGAAGGGATGGAAGTTCTTCTGCACTAACTCTCTCTCCTAACTTTCTGTACCTCAGTCTTGGGACCTGGAGCATTGAAGCCAGTTACCAAAGCGCCAAAGAGCAGAAGTTCAAGGCAGCCTTTGATGTGAAAGAGTACGGTGAGAGAATTGGTGGGGAGGGCAAAGCGGAACATACAAGGCATGGGGCTGGCAACAGAAAGGAAGTGCTGTGGTGTACCTGCTGTGTCCCAGACGCCGGGCGGGTGCTGGTGAGCAAGGCTGTGTGTCCCAGCGCTTGAGGTTTTCAGAATCAGGAGAAGGAAGCAGAATAGAGTGGAGGAGGGGGTGAGGAGGGGCCAGGAGGGAAGGGAGATGGTGAAACTCTGATTGTGGCCACTGCCTTTGCTGCATCCAGTTCTCCCATCTTTCGATGTCCAGCTAAAGCCAAACAAGACCTTCTTCCACCTCAACAGTGAGGCTCTGGGTGTGGACATCCAGGCCCGGTGAGTTCCCGTACCTGCAGCCTATCCAGAAGACCAAGGGTGCTAAAAGACAGAGAGAGATGGTAGGGACACCCTCAGCCACCCATGAGACCTTCTTCGCCACCTACATTGTCCTACGAGTTTGTGCAGGCCACATCTGCAACACAAAAAGGCTTTATGGAACATATTTGTTACTTCCCAGCATTGTGTGGGTCAGCAACCAAACTATCTAAGCTTTCAGGGATCCTCTCTGCCCCTCCTAAAGTTGTGCAGTCACTACCACAGCCCCTGAGGCCACATAGCCCATCCTTACAGCACCATGAGGTTGTGCGTGCTTCAGAGCCAGTTGGATGGCTCTCCCTCCCTCAGGTACATATTCAACAAGCTGGTCAATGGAAACGCTCTGGCCATCTTCGGGATTAAGCTGGATTCCCGCAGGATCCCCATCCAAAGTTCCCTGCAGCGTGTGGAGGTGACTGAGTCCTGACTCCATCCCCACCTCCCCTCCCTCAGCCACCCTCCACTCCCCAAGAAACCATCACCACTTCCTCTCCTCTCTCCTGCCCTGAAAGCAGGTTTCTGAAGGCCTAGGCCACATCTCACTCCACAAAAACATGCTGATGACTGCATTCCAAGGCCCAGAGGAGGAGTTCATCGGGGCCTCCATCTTTGTCAACGTCACCGTGTTCTCAGGTGCCACCCTCACCCAGACCCCTGCTGAGGTCAGGGGGGCTGTGTTCTTTTTCACCCCATACCACCACCCACGTGACCTCAGGCCACATGATCTACCTCCTGGGGTCCCCCCACTTCCCAAGATCCTAATGACTACACTCAGTTTCCTCCCAGCTTCAGTTTCCTCATCAGAGAAATGAGAAAACAGGATTAGGAGGCACTGAAATTGTATTACTGTCTTTCCCTGTCCTCATCAAGACAGGCCCCACAGCCCCCCAGGAAATTAAGCCTCATTCACAGACCTCATGGCCTCCCTGTCTCTCCAGGCGGTGAAATGGTCCAGGCCGAGACCTCAGGGGTGAAGATTGTTCGGAGCCCGTACAACATCAAGTTCATCAAGACTCCCCAGTATTTCAAGCCAGGGATGCCCTTTCACTTTAGGGTCAGAGTCTGGGTTCACTCCACCCGGGGACTCAGAACCATTTCCCCCAAACAGACCCTTCCTCCAGGAGACAAAAACCTGCACTGGGCTCTCCAGTCCCCCACAATTTATCTGTTTGAGAGTTGAGTCCATCCTGTAACCCAGACCAAGCCCAAGATTTCCCCAAGTCTTAACCCTGGTCCCCTCAAAATGTGGTGATGGCTCCAGAATTTCTCTAAGGGGGCCAGAGAGCCCACAGTCAGTTGGAAGGTGGTGCTTAGGAGTGTGTCTGGAGGCTGCATTTGCAGCGAGCATGCACTTTCTACAGTCATCTATTTAGGGTGACTTTGGGATGTGTGATGGGCTTTAGGAAAGCTGGAGACATCCTTTGGTGCCAATCCGACTCCAAGTTTTCTCCAACCTCTCACATCTCTTCCTACCCTATCCAATCCCCGCACCCCTTACCCCAACACCCTGGCACATGAGCACCCAGGCTCTGCATCCGGGTTCACACTGCAAAGCTCTATGGGCCGCCATTCGTAAAGACCAATGTGAATAGCGCCTCTGCCATTGTTCCATGAGCCACTGGCGCAGTTCCACAAGGCGGTCCCGTCCAGATTGTTTTCCCAGTTCCCACCTCTCATGCCAGTTCACCCTCAGGCCTGCCCTTCATTTGACCCCAGATTCCTCCCCCAGGTCTTCGTCTCAAATCCTGATGGGTCCCCTGCCTCCAGAGTCCCCGTCCGCTGCCAAAACCACAGAGTATACACCTCATCCAGCGGGATGGCCACTCTGACCATCAACACAGACGCCAATATGAAGCAGCTCCCTATTCAGGTACCAACCTGATGGGCAGGGGTGGAGGGGCTAGGCTGCATGAGCCAGAAGGGGATCAGGGGTTCACTTGCCGTGTCTCTCCCCAGGTGGAAATTGATGAGTCTCTCCAGCCAGAGGAACAGGCTTCAGCCAGGATGACAGCTTGGCCTTATTCAACTCAGAATGGGTCAGGGAATTTCCTTCACATTGAGGTGAAGACATTGGGTACAGATGTTGGCAGCAACATCCATCTGAGCCTTAATACAAGACATCAGAATCCTGAAACCAAGAACCAGATCTCTTACTTCACCATCCTGGTAAGGAGTTCTTTCCTGGGCATAGCCCTGGGGAGCTGGGTTTGTGGGAACCAGGTGAGAGAGAGTCGGATTAAGGGGGAGGGTGCTAAAGAAAATGGACTATGGGCCTCGGGGAAAAGCCGGCCCTACCCTTCTCACCCCTGGCCTCTTTTGTATCCAAGGTCTTAAGTAAGGGTCAGATCGTGTATGCCAAACATCAGGCAAAAAGCCAGGGAAGTGTCTACACATCAACCATTATTGATGTGACTTCAGAGATGTTGCCCTCCTTCCGCATCCTGGCCTTTTACTTACTACCCAAGGGAATGGGTCAGGACCCTGAGCTGGTGGCTGATTCACTATGGATTGATGTGAATGACAGATGCATGGGAACGGTGAGTCAAACTCCTGGACATTCTACATCAACATAAAGTTCAGGAGAGAATCTATAAAGGTCAAGTGTCCCCCATCTGGAGGCAGGGGATAGGAAGAAGAGGAAGGCTTATAAGTTCCATCTAGGACTTGAACAGGATGCGCGTAAACATGTGGAGTTGGGCCTGGTCTGGTGGAGTTCCTCGACGCTCCACCAAAGCAGTAGGTGTACTTGGGGAATCTGAACATCTTTACCTGCTATCTTTTTTTTCTGGCTCAGCTGAAAGTTGGTCTGAAAAATGAAGAATTCTTCCAGACTTTTGATCCCAATAGCAAGGTGGAACTGAAGGTGACAGGTGATGCCGAGGCCGCCGTGGGGCTGCTGGCTGTGGACAAGGCTGTCTATGTCTTGAGCAGCAAACACAAACTCACACAGAAGAAGGTAAGAGCATGTGGGCTTTGGGCTAAGAGGTTGCCTGGAGATTCTAGCTGGAGCTTTAGTTTCTGCAGCCATCAAATGGACAATATTGGTGACTGAGCCAGTGCACAACACAGATATTGGTGGTGGTAAGGGTTCAATAAATGGCAGAGGATGTGAGAGTTAGTATTTAATCCAGCAGTTCAATCCATGGTTGTGCCCTCCTAAGGGCTTGCTACAGGTTCCAAATCCAGGTTCCTCTCTCAACTCCCAGGTCTGGGATGTGGTGGAGGAACATGATGTTGGCTGCACCGCGGGCAGTGGGAAAGACAGGCTTGCTGTGTTCAAGGATGCTGGATTGGACCTGAAGTTGAGCACAGGGACGGACACCCTGGCAAGTTCAGGTATGGGGGGTGGGGAGCAGGAGGAGGGAAGGAGTGGGGGGAAGAGCTACCTAGTGGTTAGGAACATGGACTTTGGGTGAAAATCCAGGACCCTGCCCCTTACCAGGGGCTAGTCACATTTCTTCTCTGAGTCTCAATTTCTCTACTCATGAAATGGAGATAATAATAGAAGTAATTCGCTGTGTGTTAGTTAAGATATCAGTTTGGCCATGTGTTATCAGTAGCTTAAATAATGTATTATGTTTATTTCTTCCTCACTCACAGTTCAGAGGTCTTTCTGGTACTCAGGCTTCTTATAGCTTGTTATTCTGTCATATTCCAAGATGAAATCCACCCACCATGCAGCAAAGTGAGGACATTTATCTCACCTCTCACTAACCAGCATGCAGTCACATGGCCCCAGCCAGATGCAAGAGAGACTGGGGACTCCAGTCCTCATCCTAAATGACATATAAGAGATGGAGGTTGCCACAGAAGAGGGGAGGGAAAATGGATATTGGGGGCAGCTAGGACTGTCATCTTTCAGCTGAAAATCATGATCTTAATAACAGTTTCTATCTACAAGCTGGATCCTGTGCTAAGGACTTTTATAGACATGATCCCATTGATAGAACTATGATAATATCAATTGACTTAGCAGGGGTAATTAATGCTTACAAAAGTTAAGTGACTTGCTGAAAAATGAACTTTTAAAGGCCAAGCCTTGAACATGTGTGTGTGCCATGAGAGAAATGAGGTGATCCATATAAAGCACTGGGCAGGCAGGAAACATCCAAAAAATATCAAGGATGTTAATAATGATCTTGACAATTGTCCTGTCATTCTTCCCTCTGACCCCCAGACTGGCAGTGCCCCCAGAGCACCCCTCCCACTCGCCGCCGCCGCAGCTCCCTAAAGAGGATGGAGACCAAGAGGAATGCAGGTCAGAGCTAAAGCCGAGTGCGCCCCTCTTGGCTCTCTGACCTACTTATTCATCAGAGCTTCAGTTTTCAGGAAATTGAAACCACTCTAGGTACTTCAAATAGAGAGGGAGCACTTTCATGATGGATGTTTGGTGCTTTAAAAATCATTGATGGGAGTCTGTTTACTGGGATGCAAGATCACCATCCACGAGGCCTCAGGAGGCTGATGAGCTCTCTCCTGAGGCTGCTTGTATAGATAGTGGAAGTTTGGCCAGGTGTATCAGTAGCTTAAACAAGATACATGTTATTTCTTCCTCACTCATAGCCCAAGGGTCACTCTCATACTCATTACAAAAACACACATAGCTTGGAGCCCACCCCTCAGCCACCACTGCTGCAGGGAAAATGGTTTCTTCTCTCCTACCTTGCAGATCTTACATACAAGCATGTGAGTGGCAGAATCTCGTCCCACCCAGGATCCTAGCAGCAAGAGAGTCCAGAAAATGTATTTAGATGTCTAGCCTCTGTGACAATGGAGGGCATGTACACGAAAGGAGAAAGGGGTGCTGAGTGGTGTGGGTCATATCGCTCAAACCCGCCATCCTCAAGCCCGGGTGTGGGTCTCACAGGAAGCTCTGAGCCTAGGGACAAAAGAAGAAGCGAGCCAGGAAAGCAATGCTAATGACTTGGCAGATCTAAATAAGGGGAAATAAGTAAAATCTAATAAAAATTTGAGGTAAAACCCTAACCTAAATATCAAAATCCATGCTAACTAACCTCTGACAAAAACTTTATAGGATTGTTTTTTTATTTGTTTGTGGTTATGATCAACTATATTATTTAACTACCAAAGTCTTAATCATCCAATATGGTAGAAGACAATTTTTTAAATCACTACACTTTTTATCTTTTTTTTAAAGATTTATTTATTGATGTATACAAGAACTGGGGTACAGTCCAGAGGTGTGGCAGGGAAGTGAGGGGATTCACCAGAGACAGAGCGGGGAACAGAACAGGCAGACTGACTGAAATACACTGCTGAGGGGAGCAGAGGGCGAGACAGGAGAGGTCTGCCGCACCATGTGGACATCTCCCTGACCGGGGATTGAACTTGTGCTGCTGTGGCTGCGGATATTTTCATAGGTTGTGTCTTAACCCCTTGCACCTCCAGAGAGGCCTGCACTTTTTCTTTAAATGCCTTCCTTCAGTTTGCTAATTTAAAAGCATTCAGCTTACTACTTTATAACATTTTGGCTTTCATCTTTTGAAAATACATAATGAGACTCAAGAATCAAATCACATTGTAATAAGAAATATGGCATTGCCCACCCCATGAGAGGAAGGCGGAGGAGACTGCAGCAGGGAGTCCAGTACCAGCTCTGCCGCGTGCAAGCTGTGTGACTCGGGCCAGTGAATTGACCTCTCTGAACTCAGCTTCCTCTTCAGAACTCACCCTTTGGGTTCAATGTGTGGCTCCAGGGAGAAGACACAGGCAAGGTGCCAGGGACAGCATCTGCCACAATCCCATGGCCAAACAGAGGCCAGGTGTCCATGACAGTCAGGTGACTGTGTCCCAGCTTCCTCGGGTCCCACCTAGCCCCTCCTTTCTCCCTCTAACTCTGACCCCAGTCAACAAGTTCAAGACAGAGCTGGAGCGAAAGTGCTGCGAGGCTGGGCTCCGGGAGAGCCCCATAGGGCTTTCATGTGAAGAGAGGACCCGGCATGTCCGGCATGGTCTAGCCTGCGTCGCCGCTTTCCTGAGCTGCTGCCATCTGTCTGCGGCCCTGACTCGGGAGGCCCGCGAGGAGCAGCTGCTTCTGGGCACAAGTGAGGGGGCCACAGCAGGGGGCATGGGGCTGGAGGGTTCCAGTGGGGGCCATGGAGTGCCACAAAACAAAAGTGGGGAGATGGGCCACTGGTGGATAGGGTGAAAGACCCCACCGAGGGGTCTGGTGGGCCTTGAAAGACACACTTAGGAGACCCCACCCCACATGGGCTTCCTGCAGCCGATCAAGACGATGACTTTGATGACATCTTCCTGGAGGACCTGCCTGTGCGAACCTTGTTTCCTGAGAGTTGGTTCTGGAGGAAATTTACTATGCCAAAAAGCGACCCAGGGTAGGTCCACAGTCCCCATGCCAGCATGTGGCCCCTGGACCTTTGGCACATCACTGGACACTGATTATGACCAATGTCCCCTAGTGAAGACATTGAGTTCTTAGGACAGTGCCATGATTGAAGCCCTTCCCAATGGGTCCCCCCAAATTATGACCCTCCAATGATGATGTCTTTAATGAGGTGATCCAGTGACCCCTCCAGAGTGATCATAACCCCTGGTCAGTGATCCCCAATCCAGAGGATCTGTCCAGGCAGCATAAACTCTGTAATGTCCCCACCACCACAGGTCGGCCACTTCCAGCAACATCTCCCACTACTACATCAGTGAGAACGTGCCAGATTCCATCACGACGTGGCAGATCGTGGCCGTCAGTCTCAAGGCTGGACAAGGTAACCCCACGAACCCAGTGTTGAGGGGTCAGGAAAAGGTGGCCCTGCCCAGCCCATCATATCGGTCAATGTGCTCTTCTGATTGTAGGTCTTTGTGTCTCAGAACCCTTTGAGCTGACAGTCATGAAACCTTTCTTTGTGGATCTTAAGTTACCCTCCTCCGTGATCAGGAATGAGCAGGTCCAGATCCAAGCCGTGTTGTACAATTTCAGGGGCCACCAGGCCAAGGTGAAGTCCCCAGCCCTCCTCTCCATGGTCAAACACCTCTCAACGATTTATAAAGCTGATGGAATGTGTCCATTATTCAAAGGGGCCAGTAAGGTGCTTTTGAAAAATGTCTAAGGTATTTTCTTATTTATGCTTCACAATAATCCCAGCAGTGGGTGTGATTATTGTCTTTGGTTTGGAGATAAGGAAAGTGAGCCACAGAGAGGGTCAATGGTTTCTCTGAGATCACACAGCACATAAATAGCAGAGGGGCCTTGACCAGGCAGGGTCTTTGCTATGAGCCACTGTGCCATGCTGTTAGCTACTCAGGATTCTCAGGGTTGGAACAGGGAGGAGACTTTGACTGTAAGGTCACCCTGTGCTTCAGGACCCCCTAACTGGCCACCCTGCTCCAGGTCCGAGTGGAGTTCCCCCACAAGGAGGCATTGTGCAGCGCATCAAAGCCTGCAGTCCCGTGGCGCCAGGTGGTGGTTGTGCCCCCCACCTCCTCCAAGATGGTGCCCTTCGTGGTTCTCCCACTGGAGATAGGCAAAGTGGATGTGGAAGTCAAGGTCGTGGGCTTTGGGATCCAGGACCATGTGAAGAAGACACTTCTGGTCAAGGTAATGGGTGTCTCCCACCCTTTGCTGCCAGTGCAGACAGTGGGGTCCCAGGCTGTGTGGTCACAAAAGGGGCAGGTGGGGCTTAGGATCAACAAATAAGTCTCCCAGAGGTGAGAGGCACAATGGCATAGATTTGAAACTTCAATCACAAAGTCCTCAATTCCAGACTGGAATCAAGTCAAATTTTTTCTTTGCTGTGGCAGACCTTGGGCAGTTTACTTAACTTCTCTGAACCTCCATATCCTCATTTTCAGGATGAGGGTATTTATCATAGCCATGAATAATAAAAGAGCTGTGAAAATTACAGCCCACCAGTGTGTGACCTGTACATTACTTGCTTAAAAAAAACAAGTTTAACACCAAGGATAGCGCACAGCCCACGAAGTAGCATGTACATTCTCTCCCTTTTATCCTCTCCCTTTTACAGATGAGAGAACCAAGGAGCAGAGAAACTAAGTATTTTATGCAAGGTCACATAGCAAGGAAGCAGAAGAGTTGGGATTTGAACCCAGACATTTGGGCTCCAGGGTCTGAGATCTTAATAGCTAAGCAAGCCTTCTCTACTGTCACTGTGGCTGTAACTACTACGAGTGTTGTTGTTAACTTGCTTCCTCTTTGCATCCCACAGGCAGGGGGGCAGATACAGAAAATATCCAATAGCACCCTCCTGAACCCCCAAGGTTTGTGGGATCCGAAAGGGGCATGTGGCATCCTGGGTCCATGCCAGGGTGGAGGGAAGGGCTGAAATGAGGGGATCCAACCAGGAGAGCAGTCCCAGTTCTGAGTCTCTGACCTGCCTGGACCCAGAAACTGCTTGTCACAGTAGGTTGTTCCTGTTCAGGTAATACCCAGACGTTCCTGGTGGGAAGACAGGACATTTTTAACAAGGTCCCTGACACAGAGGCAGAAGTGTTTGTCAGCATCCAAGGTACCTGGGACAGAGCTGACTCCTGGGAGAATGGATAGGTGGCACTGAACGGCCTCCTGGGTACAGGGGCAGGCGGGGCTGGGGGTGCCTATCTGGAATGATGGGAAACCATGGTGACCTCAGCCATTCCCAAGGTGACCCTACTCGCCTGATGACAGGTGACATCCTTGGTGAGACAATTTTGGGCAGCCTGACACCCGGAGAAACAAGGAGGCTGCTGAAAGTCCCGAGTGGCTGCCCCGAGCAGACCCTGAGCTCCTTCACCCCGGTGATCATCCTGACCCAATATTTGGATGCCACAGGCCAGTGGGGCAAGGTTGGCGTGGAGCTCAGGGACCAGGTGATGAAGAACATTGTCAGTGGTAAGAACCACTCTCCTGGGACCTCAATGAGGGTGGGTGGGAGAGTGACTGGCGTACCCCTAGAATGGGCCACACTCAGACAATAACACCCAAACTCTGACTCATCTCCCAGATTACAACCTGATACCGATCCCCAGGTGATCCCAAGCAATGACCCTCAAATAGCTAGCTCAAGGTGACCCCTAGATTGCTGGCAAAGTCTGACTCCTCTCCCAAAGGATGACATGATACCAAGTCTCCCAGCTGACCCCCAACAGTGACTATCATGTTGCTTCTTCATGCTCACCCCTCTCCCAGGCTACAGCCTGACAACAGATACCCTGGTTCACCCCAAGCAGCAGTCCCAGGACAGGTGCTGTACTGAGACGCTGTCCCAGGTTATACACAGTCAGTGGCCGTGCGTGCGCTGGCTCTCACCCCCAGGAGTCCCCAAGCAGAAAACTCCAGAATAATCCCAGGTGATGGCTTTCCAGTTACACCTGAATGCTGACAGCTCCCCAGGTTACAAAGAGAAATGTATGCACCTAGTTATACCAAGAAACCCTCAAATTAATTTGAACATTGACACTTCTCCCCAGTTACACTCAGACACCAACTCTTCATCCAAGTGTTCTCTATGGTAACCCCAGGTAACATTCCAATACTCTTTTCCCCAATGTTACAAACAATAAGTGCCCAGGGAACCTTCACTTAATACCCAAGTAGCAATGCTCAGAACACACCTGAGAGCTGCCCCCTCCAAAATATACTCAAGAACAGCCTTCTCTGGGTTACACAGGTACACTACTTTACATAGACACCCCTAGATTACAGCCAAGAAAAACACCCCAGGAAGCTCCAAGCTAGTGGCCCCTCAGAGTACCCCGTTCTCCGGGATTTGCCTTCCACAGTCTTTTTGAGTGGCAATTCCTAGCCACACCCAGAAACTACCAGATGGGGCAGTTTTCAGGTTCCCCCTGGATGCTATACACTGGCTTCCGCAGTCACACCTGGGCCCCACAGCCCCCTTCTTAATGTACCTAGACAAGCCCGCTCCTCCAGGTTACATCCAGATGGGACACGCCCTCTAGTCACACCCACACCTTGGCCCTTCAGACTATGCTGACAGCTGACCCTTTGCACAGATGCCCAAACACCAATTCCATGCGAGTCCACCTCCATCTCGCTCCAGGTTACACCCAGATGCTGACCCACCGCAATAAAGATGGCACCTACCATGCAAGCAAGGGAAACCCGGGAAGCACCTGGTAAGGATGTGGACAGCGGCCGTCCTGCCACCACCTGGAAGCTGGGTTCCAATAGGGGCCTCGCCCACCCTGGAGCCTCCCGGGTGGGGTTTCAGGGCAAGCAGTGTGTGGGCCAGCAGACCTGGGCAGCAAGTGGAGAGGGTCGGTCTGGACCAGTGTGGCCCACAGTGTAGATTCTCCGTGGAGTAGATGCCCACACTCTAGGGCCCCCTTGCTGCTGTTCCCATCACCACCCAAGCCCCTCCCCACCCTCCACAGGCTCACAAGCTATGTGTTCCGGGTCTTCTCCCTGGCCTACCACACCACCACGGTAACTGTGGTAGACAGGCACTCTCTCTGTGACTTGGCCACCTGGATCATCACCCAGAGACAGGCGGAGGACGGGCATTTCCTGGATGAGGGCCCTCCGATCATGTCATCCATGCAGGTACTCACTGCCCCGCTGTCTGGGACATTCAAACAAAACCCAGGGCTCTGCACGTGAACAAGGGGACTTCAGGTCTCTGGCCTATTCCTAGAATGAGAAGAGGAAAGAGCCAAGGTTTAGGACTCAGCCTCACAGCTCCCTGGTCAGGACCACCCTGTTACAATGTGAGAAGGCTGGGGACACCTGGTTGCCCATCTCTCCTTTGCCCCACATCAGGCAGGTGCCAGTCCTGGCCCTCCTCTCTGGGACTGAGTCCCCCCCACCCCCAGGCAATACCCCCATCTTTACCCGAATCCCAGTAGGTTTCCCTTAGACAGTTTCCTTTTTAGCTAGTGTTACAATTGCCTCAGTCTTTGGGGTTATTGTGATTGCAAGAGGCCCTTCAGCAATAACCATCAGGAAACTGAAAAAAAAAAAAAAAAATAGAGGCTTATTACTTACAAAGCCTGGAATCTACACAGCATACCTGGGCCACAGTGAGGGCTTAGGGAGAGAGGGACACCCTGGGGTCCTTGGGGTAGAGGATGGGGAGTCTAGGGTTTCAGGGGGTCACTCTCTACTAGGTAATTTAAATCATAAGAACAGAAATTTAAAGCAAGGTAGAGACCAAAAGAGAAGGAAAAGGAAAAATCACAGAACAGTTCAAGTGGTCAGTTATCTAAATTAACCAGAATTTGTAAAATAAAGGAACCTTAGTGGGAGGAGGCAGCTGGCACACAGCTCCTCAGGGACCAGTGCTGAGTTTGTTTGAGCTGCTCCTCTTTAGGCTGACTACCTGGGCACCCAGTCTTCAGTCAGGTACTTGCCTCACCAAAATAAATGCCACCAGTATTTACATTTCAGGCTTCTATAAAAGCATTGCATAAGCTGTCTAACACCATGCCAACAGGGCAGCTTAAAGCAACAGGAATTTATTTTGTCACAGTGTTGGAGGCTAGAAGTCCAAAATCAATGTGTCAGCAGGGTCACACTCCTTCTGAAGTCTCTAGAAATGAATCCTTTCTTGACTTTTCTAGCTTGGTGGCTGCTGACAATCACTCACATCCCTTGGTTTGTAACTGCACACCAATCTCTTTGTCTCCATCTTCACATGCCCTTCTTCTGTCTATCTTCATGTAGCTTTTTTATAAGGACGCTAATCATTGGATATAAAGCACATCCTAACCAGTATAACCTCTTCTTAACTTAATTATATATGCAAAGACTATTTCCAAATAAGAGCACATCTTAAGATTCTAGGTGGACACAAATTGGAGGGGGAATACTACTAAGCCCTCTACAGGGGTTGAGGGTGAAAGCCAGAAGAATAATGAAGAGTTTGAACCCTAAGTCAGTTATTTGCTAGTAATAGGGAGCCTTCACGTCTCTGACCCTCCATTTCTCCATCAGGAAAATTAAGTTGCTGAGAGAATGAATGCTCTGAGACAGTCTCAGCACCTTCCATGGGTGTTAGCTTTTCTGAACAAGGCAGACTCCATACAGGAAGATCTCAAAATGGCTTCTCTCTCTCTCTCTCTCTCTCTCTCTCTCACTCTCTCCACACACACGCACACACGCACATACAAACACACTTTACCCTCTTCCCATCCTACTTGCAACATCACCCAGCCCAGAGTGGGGCACCTGAGAGCTTTCCAAGGTCAGGGAGGAGAGGTTGGAGGTGTCCCAAGATGGTGAAGGGAACGTGGGTATGATTCTGCACGCGCAGGGTGGCTACAGAGGCTCCGAGGCAGACGTATCCCTCACAGCTCTTGTCCTGATCGCATTGGCTGAGGGGAAGGAGTTGTGCATCCAGGATATACCGGTAAGGACCCAAAAAGGGAGGGTAGGATTTGGAGGGTGCTATACCCCCTGCACACAGGAGCTCCCCACCCTCATGTCGCTGTCAGTGAATGCTTCTTTTCTGATTTTCAGACCCTTTTCCTGATTGTCTTCCTCTAGCCTCCTCTCTCTGACTCCCTAGGATTTAGCTGCCAGCATGGAGAGAGCCCGTGACTTCCTGGAAAGACGCCTCCCCAACATTCAAACAACCTTTGCTATTGCCATAACCTCCTATGCTCTGGCGCTTACCAACAGCCCCCGAGCCAATGACCGCCTGGACAGTTTTGCCAGTCATGGTGGGTGTGGGGCACTTCTTAACCATCTGTGCATTACCCACAGTTATTGAGGAGGAGGGAGATGTTTGTTGTCAAATCTAGCAATGTGTAACTCATTATTCAGAATTTATTAAGCACCTATGTAACTGGAAAATGCTGCGGTTGGAATGCCTACTGTTGCCAGAAGCCTAATGAGCACAGACAGGAATTGAATCTATCAATATAAGGTGCACTTTATTGTCAGAAAGCCAGTGATCTGAGAGAACAAGAGATATTTTACCCCCAAAACCCATTCTGACATCTCATCTTGAGCTGGCCTTTTTTCTAGTGAGTTAAACAAAAGCGGTTAATCATAAGTGAACAGCCCATTACAACAGTCCACCGCAGCTGATCTCCTGGCCTTCATCATGTTTAGTCCCCAGAGTTTGTGGTCACCTCTTAGGTACATCCTGTTTTCCTGGGCCTGGAAAAACATCCTGTTTTCTTGATGGCGTCAATGTCTGACACTTCCTCAGGGGCAGGACTGTCAGTTCAAAACAAAGAAAAACAAATCAGTGGTGTTTGTGTGTAGCCTATGCTGTGTGTGTGCCTGCAGATCCCTGTGCTAGGGAAGGTGCCTTTCCCTTTCTCTTTAGCCCATCACGTATGGTAAGTGTGCCAATCCTGAGTTCAGAGCCTAAGAAACCAAGGTGAGCAAGATGAAGGTGATCCCTGCCTTCAAAGGTCCCACCATCCCTGGAGAAGACAGACAGAAGATAAACAGATCAACAGAGAAACACAAATTAAGATAGTGCTGAGATGGCAGCAATACAAGGTGGATGGGAGAGATGGCAAGGGAAGGGGTAGTGATTGGAGAGTGAGAAGACCTCTGTGAAAATTGAACTCCTCAGCTGGAATGAAAGATAAAAAGTTTCCCTTATGTGGAAGGTCAAGGACACACCAAACTAAGGGAATAGTACATGCAAAAGCTCTGAGGTGAGAAAGTGCCTGGAATAGTAAAAGATGGAAACAAGGTCATAAAATGTGGGTGATTGAGAGAGGTCTGACTACCATGGCCTGCCATATTCCACCCCTGAGGGTCCTAACCCCATCCTCTCTATTTCCCAAGTCAAGAGCAGTGTAAATAGGAAAATTTGCTTGTGGATTGACTGGATAAGCTGAAGGAGCTTCTGCGTGGTTTTTTTTATTTAATTTATTTATTTATTTTATTTATACAAGCACTGGGTACAGTTAGAAGCACGGGAGGGTGAGAGAATTCACCAGAGCCAGAGCGGGGAGCAGAACAGGCAGAGGACCGAAGTACACTGCTGAGGGGAGCAGCGGGAGGCAGGAGAGGTCTGTGCGCCATGTGGGACCCTCCTCCGGTGGCCGGGGAGCAGCTGGGGATCGAACCGGCGCCGCAGAGGCTGCGGGCAGCTTCGCAACCCAGCGCTCAACCTCTGCGCCACCGGGGAGGCCCTGAAGGAGCTTCTTTTAATCTCATTTTCCCCATCTCTAAATAGTTGCTGTTTCCTGGAGTGATTCTGAAAATGCAGTGTCCACATGTCTCCTTAAAATAGTGGTAGAAAGAAATTAGGCCAGGTGACACAAGGAGAGGGCAGATTTAGGTAGGTAGGTCCAGATCTTGGTGATGAGATGGGCATCTATCTTCTAGACAAAACCCACTGGCCAGTGAAAAGCAAATGGCATAATTCCCTGTACACCATTGAGGCCACGGCTTATGCACTGATGCAGAAACTGAAGCTGGGTCAGCACAATGAGACGCATGCCATCGCCAAGTGGCTACTGGAGAAGCGGGCACTGGGCGGAGGGTTCAAGTCCACTCAGGTGACGGGGAGGGGGGAGGGGCGGGAGGAAGGGGGCGGAGGGAGGGTCTCAGAGGTGGGAGTTGGGAGTTGGGGTGGGCACTAGCCATGGTGTTGACGTGGGGCCGGCCCACCTGAAGAAACAGTCCGTAGTGCTAAGGTGCTGTCCTGCGTGCCCCGAGGGCGCTGTCTGTGGTGCTGATCCACTGTCCCCATCCCCACCCAGACCACGGTGGTTGCCATTGAGGCCCTCACCCGCTTCAGCGAAGCTGTACCCTTCGAAGACGTCCAGGATCTCCATGTCCAGATCAGTGTCCCCAAGAGAGCCTTGAACTTGGAGTGGAACATAGATCGGAACAATGCCTACCAGCTGCGGTCAGCAAAGGTACGAAACTGAGGGACAAATCACAAGTCCACACAGGTGGCATTGAGGATGAGATTGAGTCATGTCCCTGCCCATCTCCCTGCCTAAAACTATCTCACTACTGGTGGCCACACTGCCGGTGTATTGCTCCATTTACTCTACAAATATTTTCTGAGCACCTACTGTATCCCAAGAATCCATCTGGGCAATCTGATCCATCTGGAGTTATATTATGAGAGATCTGTGGTGCCTACTCTTGAAATTTGCAGTCTAGGAAGAAAATAAACCAATAAATATATTCTGTTTTAAGTTTTCTGAACTTAAGTGTGGAAGGGGGAAAATATGCTTACTGTAGGGAGTAAAATAATCCCTATGATCTTACACCATGGAAGAGGTAACATTTACCTTCAATCATTCTGCCATCTTTACTGAGTACTTACTATGTGTCAGGCTTTGTTCTAGGGGCTGGGACTATGGCCATGAAAAAAGAAAAAATCTCTGTCCCTGTAGAATTTAGTATTTTAGTGGGAAGGGAGGTCAGACAATAAAAAGATATAAGTAAGTAGACTATGTAGATTGATAAATGATGACATGTCATATGGGAGGGGCTGGGAACATCAAGGAGCTGTGATATTAGATAGACTGGGCAGGAAATATTTCTCAAGAAGGTAATGTCTGAGCAAAGAACTTAAGGAAAAGTAAGAGTGAGCCTTGTAGCTATCTAGGCAGATGAAAAACAAGAACAAATACCTTGAGGAAAGAGGTGTTCTATCAGCAACAACAGGACCATTGTGGGGTCTCCCTGGTGGTACAGGGGTTAAGTCTGAGCACTATCACACTATCACTGCTACAGCCTGAGTTTGATCCCTGGCCAGGGAGTTAATCCACGTGGTGCAGCGGACCTCTCCTGTCTTGTCCACTGCTTGCCTTAGCAGCATGTTTCAGTAAATCCACCTGTTGTGCTCCCCACTCTGTCTCTGGTGAATCCTCTCACCCTTTGCACCTCTGGCCTATACCCAAGTTATTCTATGCAAAAATAAATTTAAAAGTGGGGGCCTCCCTGGTGGCCTAGGGTTTAAGTCTCAGAGCTATCATTGCTATGGTCTGAATTCAATCCCTGGCCAGGGTTCTAAACTACACATGGCGCAGCAGACCTCTCCTGTCTCACCCGCTGCTCCCCTCAGCAGTGTGTTTCAGTAAACCCTCCTGCTCTGCTCCTGACTCTGTCTCTGATGAATCCTCTCCCGCCCTGCACCTCTGGCCTATACTCCAGCTCCTCTATGCAAAAATAAAATAAAATAAATCTTAAAAATAATAAATAAATAAATAAATAAATGGGGATGGGTGTGATGAGGAAAAGGAGTGAGGGGAAATGAGGGCAGGAAGGTGATGAGAGTCTCACGGACCTGAGCTGACACTTGGACTTTCCTCCAAGTGAAGTGAGAACCATGGATGGCCCTGGAAAGAGAAGGGTCATTATCGCACTTACACAATATGAACATCTAGTGTAGCCATAATTATGGTACATAGAATATGGCACCAGTCAATATATATTATTTAGGCACCATGTTGCAAAGTTGGTGTTATTATTAGCCTCATTTGGGGAAATGTGAGACCAAACAGTAAAATAATTTGTCTGAGTTCACACATACTTTCAGTAGATGAATAGGAGCTGTCAAGATGAAGGGCGTGGGGGAATGTGCTGTGATACAGAGACAGGTACAGAGTAGTACAGGCTTGCACAGGTGTGACCGGAAGCGAGGTTGCCAGGAAAAGTGATGTAAGGAGAGTGGAAGGTTGGCAGGGAACAAAGCGTAAGAGCTGGGGGTTTCAACAGGGGTGATATGATTAGATGTGAATTTGTAAAATTTTGTTCTAGCTATGCAGTAAGAATGTGTGAGGAAAACAAGGGTAGATGCAGACATGCCAGGAGAAGAGTCTTGTGGGCTTCATGCACAGCAAACTTTGGAGACACTGCAGAGATGTATGTGAGGACACAGCCTGAGCAGGCAGTTAGAGTCGATCATGACAGTAGATGCACAAATGCTCTATCAAGAAGAAAAAGCAAAACCATTTTCTTCCCCACCCCCTTTGCATCTGAGCCACATTTTACTGCTACCCCTGCCATCAAATACTCTTGCTTCCCTTCAAGTTCTCTGCCCAGGACGAACTAGAGATCAAAGCCAGCGGCAATGGGAGAGGCACCATCTCGGTGAGTGTGGTTTCCTGCCCTTGAGACCCTAAGCTAGAGCCCAGCACACACTGCAGTTTGTGAAATAGAGTCAGTCTAGACTCCAAAACAAGACTGAAATCAGCTATACTTATAGCTGCTGTTTAGGATATTGCTCTTTGCTAGGAAGCAAACTAAGGACACCAGCCACCTCGACCCCAGAGAAGTTGATAAAAATATGGACACCATTCAACAGGCAGGGAAATGGAAGCTCAGAAAGGTTTTCACATTGTCGAGGCAAGACTCAGGAACTAGAGTCCAGAGGTCATTGAACCCCTTTGCCCCTACCAGGCTGAGTCCCTGGAGGGTGTTTCCTTCCTTGCCTTCCCAAAGGGAGATTCTCCTTCCAGAGTGTCTCCCAAGATCCAGAGGCTCACTCAATCTTTCCCCGAATATCTGGAGGCTTCATCACATCTTCCGGCCTATGGCCTGTGGCCAGGAGAACAGCCTTTGTGTTCACTAAGTTTCAGACAGCTTGTTATATTTCAGAGGACAGAGTCACAACTGAATCCCTGCCTTTGTTGTGTGACCTTCGGCCTGTCACACACTTCCTTGAGTCTCAGTTAAATTTAAATTCATTAAGCTTAACTAAAATTGCAAGTTCACTTCCTCAGTCACACTAGCCACATTTCAAGTGCCCAACAGGCACACATGGCAAATGGCTGCCACATGGAAGCACAGGGAGGATCCATCACCTCCAATCCGGACGGTCTGTTTCATAGACCCGGTCTAGACTTGAAGGTGTTTTGGCCACTGCACCCAAGGACTGACCTAGGCAGGCAAGGACTAGAGTAAGGAGGAAGGGGATGTGTAGGGAGAGACTCTAAAACATTCCCTGCCCCTGCAGATCCTGACCATGTACCACAGGTCCTCAGAGTCATGGGAGGACACCTGCAAACTGTACACACTGAATGTGACTCTCGTCAGTGCCCCAGAAGGTAAGCCTGGGCCCAGGGATGCCTGACAGCCCTTTTTAATTATTTACTACACACTGGGTACTGTGTTGTACTTTTATTTTAACTATTATTAAGGAATGACATTTAATGCATTGTTCAGTCATTCAACAGGTACTTGCTGAGTATTTATTACATGCCTTGCCCTGTTTTTTGGTTCTGGGAACATAAGCATGAACAAGAAAACTATCCCTTCTCCTGGAGCCCACTTTCTAAGAGAATACAATCACAATAGATTACACTCCTACTACTGCTACTTATTTATAACAAATAAATCAATATTATAGAAATAAATATATAAATAAAATAGGAGGGCCTCCCCAGTGGCTCAGCGGTTGAGCGCTAGGTTGTGAAGCTGCCTGCAGCCTCTGCACCGCCGGTTCGATCCCTGGCCGCCGGGTGAGGGTCCCACATGGCGCGCAGACCTCTCCTGCTGCCCGCTGCTCCCCTCAGCAGTGTACCTCATCACTCCGCCTGTTCTACTCTCCACTCTGGCTCTGGTGAATTCTCTCACCCTCCAGCGCCTCTGACTGTACTCAGTGCTTGTATAAATAAATAAATAAATCTTTTAAATAGATAAATAAATAAATAAATAAATAAATAGGAGATGTTTGACTCAGGGGAGGTTAGGAGGAAGCTCTCTGAGGAGGTGACATTTGAGTTGAGAGATGAGAGAAATGAGAAATCAGCCATGAAGCAGCTAATGGAAGAGCATCCCAGGCAGGCAGAACAAGGTGCACAGGCCCTGAGGCAAGAATGAGATCACCTTGTTTGAGGAGCAGTGGTAGAGTTTAGGAAAATGAATTGAAGAAGTGTCAGAAGCAGAGAGTGCAGGGACTTGCAACTTCTGTGAGGACTTTGGTTTTTGCTCAGAGTGAAGTAGAAGCCAGAGTGTTCGCAGTGTTCTGACAGAGCTCAGATTTGCACAGATTCCCTTTGTTCGGTCTGAGGGGAATAGACTGTAGGGGGCAAAAGTAGGACCTGGGAGACAAGGAAGGAGGGGATTGCACTGGTCCAGTTATAGATAATGGGAGGACCAAGGTGAGGGTGTTGGAGGTGGTCAGAAATAGTGCGATCTTAGAGTTTCCAGTCTGAGGTACTCCAGGAAGGCAAGAGGATCCTGCTATTGGGAGCTCACTGTGGTGGTAGTGGGGAAAAGCTCCACCAATCCCACTTTTAGGCACTAAAAAAGTGACCAAGACTTTGGTTTGGGCCCTATTTCCTAATAATAATAACAACTGACAGTTATAAAACACTGGCCAGGGACTATATTAATTTGCTTTGTTTGTATTAACCCACTTAATTCTCACAACAATCCTGCTGGGCTGGGAATACGATGATTCATACTTACAGTTAAGAAATGAAAGCACAGGGCCTCCCCTGGCAGCGCAGGCAGTTGAGCTCAGCGCTGTGGAGCTGTCTGCAGCCTCTGCAGCGCCAGTTCGATCCTGGCCAGCCGGTGAGGGTCCCATATGGCGCAGCAGACCTCTCCTCTCTCACCTGCTGCTCCCCTCAGCAGTGTATTTCATCAGTCTGCCTGTTCTGCTCCCCACTCTGTCTCTGGTGAATCCTCTCACCCTCCTGCGCATCTGGCCTGTACTCCAGTTCTTGTATAAATAAATAAATAAATCTTAAAAAAAAAAAAAAGAGAATGAACTAGTTTAAAAGAAAGAAAAGAAAAGAAAGCACAGAGAGGTTAAGCACATTGCCCAAAGTTCACCCAGGATTTGGGTCCAGGAACCCGACTCCAAAGGCTGTGCCTATGCTCAGAGGTGTGTTACCCCACCTCTAAATGCCTGTCCTCTCTCTGCAGAGAATAAAAGTGGAGAAGAGACTTTTCAGCTCCGGATGACAACCAGGTCAGGACACCAGGACTGTAGGCTGGTGGGGGAGGAAGATGTAATCATCAGGGACCTAGACCCTTGGCAGCTCTTCCTGGGTAGTGAATAGAAGACAGAAAGCAGCCGAGTTTGCCTCTCTGTGCCTACTCCCTCAACCTGCCCTCCCCTTCCTGTCACCTATTCTGTCCCCACCTTGCCCTCCCAGGCTCACCTGCTCACACTTCTGCCCCCCATCCTGCCATGTCTTGGGATGGCGAGTTCTATTGACCCAGAGGCCCAGGCAGGCTCCAAGCTTCACAGCTTTCCCCAGCCCTCATCTTCCCCAGACACCCAGCCCCCACCCCAGTCCTGCTCTGCCTCCCAACTGCCTTCACAAAGGTCAGCCCCAGATAAAAACATGCATTGAGTGTCAGGCTCTGTTGTAGGAGCTGGAGGTACAACTGTGAGCGAGGCAGCCACTCCCCACCCAGTGAACATCAAGTGTATCAAGGGAGACAGATAACAACTAAACAATTAGCCAGAATCAATGAAAAATGACAGGTGTGATTAAATGTAGCGGAGGAGCAGTCCACATTGCCTGAGGAGGACAGAGGGGAGAATGATCAATGTGCAGAGGCAGCTATGCATCAGCTGAGACTGCAAAAATGAAAAGATGTTCATTTTTGGAAGAAGCTAGGATTCCAGGCTGAGAACAGCATGTGCAAAGGTCCAGTAGTGAGAAAGAGACTGATGCTTAAAGCAATCAAATGGAGGCTGGGGTGAGAGAACACGAGGTGGAGGGCAAGCCAAGGCATTTGGTAAAGATGTTTCAGCAAGGAGGCTACCTCTAATATTTTTGTGTGCTGTTGGGAGCACAGGAGTGTTGGGGAGACCCCTGAGGAGGCAACTGCACTTGTCCAGGCAAAAGATGATGGCATGGGGGTTATAGGGGACAGCCAGGAGTGCAGTGGGAATACACTGGAGCCGTGAATTCCCCAGGTTCCAGGATGATCGAGAGGCCACAATGAGCATCGTGGAGGTCTCCCTGCTCACTGGCTTCTACCCCAATCAGGACGACCTCAAACAGGTAATGTGTGATCAGATAACCTGATCACTGCTGAGTAGGGTGCGGAGGCCTAGTCACAACACCTCACACTCCCCAGGTGGGCACAGGGCAGGGAGGATCTTCACAGAGGCCTCTGGGTTAATGTCCTCAGGTCCCTGGCCCATGGTCACCCATGGTCAGTGGCCATGGTCACTCCTGGTGCATCAGTTTTCCTGCAGTTTCCCCTGACTGGACAAGGCTAGGAGCTCTGAAAGGTGCCTCACACTAACTGGAGTTCCTAGGGCTGTCGGGGCCTCTGCTCACCCCCAATCATCACACTCTGTCCCAGCTCACAAGCGAAGTGGAGATGTACGCCTTCCAGTACGAAACCAAGATGAGCTCCAGCGACAGCACTGTTGTCCTCTACCTGGAGAAGGTGAGGAAGGCCCAGTGCTCTCTGCCAAGGCCTGTGGGTAGTTCAGGGGGCAGAGAACCCAGTCGGCACCTTTGGCAGTGTTACCAGAGAGCCATGCCATCTGAGGTCAGCTCCTCTAGTTTGGATGCCCACATGGTCAGCGCAGTCAGCCCCACGAGGTCAATGTCCCATAGTAGGTGGCCGTGGTCAGCTCAGACAAGACTCCCCTCCTCCAGGTCTCCCACAAGGAAGACACGGTGCTGGGCTTCCGGGTCCACAGGATGCTGCAGGCAGAGTTCCTGCAGGCCGCCCAGGTCACCGTCTACGACTACTATGAGCCTTGTGAATAAGGGTCTGGGGGTAAAGGGGATTCCCTCAAGGGGACCCGGTCTGCGGGAAGGCCAGGACCCAGAGGGCGGGATGGAGGGGCCAGAATGGGGAGACAGGCGTGGCCGACGGGAGGGGGCGGCCAAAAGTGTGATGGAAGGGACCTAAAGGGATGTGGGGATGAGGGGCGCGAGCTTCGTGGGTTGTCAAAGCGGCCCGGCCTGGGAGAGGGTGGGGCGGAGCCGAGGAGGCGTGGCCTGCTGGGAACGGGGTGAGCGGGAAGGGCGGGGTCTGTCGGTGAGCGCGCCCTGGGCGGAGACCCTGCCCCCAGGAAAGCCGGCCCAAGCCAACCCCAGGCGCCCGCCTTCTCTCCCCCCCACACCCTGGAAGCCCGGAGGTGCAGCGCCTTCTACAACCTGCCTCAAGAGCCATCTTCCCTCCGCAAGGTCTGCCACAGGGACGTCTGCAGATGCGCCGAGGGTGAGGCCGCGTGGGGCCGCGGAGGGCTGACGCCGTCAGGCTGGGGGTCCAGGAACCCGTGGCCACTTCCTGGCTGCCACCCGGGCTGAGACAGAGACAGCGAGATAGGAAGAAAGACACAAAGAGAGACAGAGGAAAAGAGCTCCAGAGACGGAGATTTACACACATATGCCCAGACACAGTCAAAGATCAGGGAAGCGCAGAGCCAAACCAGTAACAGACCCTAGTGGTGTGACTAGAATCGGGGCTACCAGAGTGGGAGGGTGGAGGGGATCCGATAGCTGGTGGTGGGAGACTATGGGTGCCTTGGGGTGGGGGTGGGGTGGTGACATCCATCTGAAGAGGTGTGATCCTGTATCTCTGAATCACATACCATGTGGTAAACCAATGTAACCTCAAAAGAAAAAAATCAAGCAAAACAAAAACCCAACCTGGAGGAAGACAGAAAGACATGCAGATGGGAAAAACAGACAAGAAGATAAAAGGAGATACAGAGGGGATGGGAGAGCATCCTACACATGAAAAAGGCCAGACCCAGAGACCTAAGAGTTGAGGGGGGTCTGAAGGGAGGAAGCCCCCCCCCAGGGCAGTGCAGCCAGAGCAGCAGCCTTCCTGACCCTCCAGAACAGTGTCCTTCCCTGAGGAAGGACAGCAGCAGAATTAAGATGGCCGAGCTGCAAGTGGCGGCCTGTGAGCCTGGCATGGACTTTGGTGAGTGCCATGAGTGTTGGGAATCAAGCCTAGAACCACCTACAGGAGTCACCACCACAAATGCCCTTCTACCACCTTCTTCCTCAGTGTACAAGGTCAAGCTGGAGGACATGGAAGCCTCTGAATCCAACCCCTACATCTACTATATCATGAAGCTCCAAGCCATCATCAAGAGTGGTATGTCCCTGGAGGAAGCAGCTGGGGCTCCTATCCTGGGGACCCCAAAATGGGGGGAGGGGGGCGGACCTGGGCATGCTCACATACTGGGTCTCCTCTCCTCCAGGCACGGACTCTGCCCCACCCCTCACCAGAAAGAAATTTGTCGCACACACCAGCTGCCATGACTCCTTAGGGCTGCAAAAACAGGAGACATACCTGATCATGGGCCATACCTCAAGCCTGTGGAGAATCAAATCTGAGTGCGTGAGGAGCCCCTGCTGCCCCGGGACTCAGACCTGGGCTCCCTCCTCTCTCCCAGCCCAGCCCTTGGTGTTGAAATTCCTGAAAATACTTGCACTCAGCAAGTGTCTCAGGTTTCAGGGCTGCCCCAAATGGAGGTTTCCCTAAAATGATATTCATTGTGATCCCTCTTCATTGTATCGAATGGAGGTTTTGAGTGGTAGGCTGTGCACCGCACAACTCCATGGAGCCCAGGGATGCTCAGAGATGGGCACAAAGATGTGTAGATTCTGTTGTTCAACCATGGGCAGTAAAGAGTCAGAGGAAAGGTTGCCTTTTCCAACCCCTGGCTTTATGGCCTAGAGGCTTGGGGCAGTGGGGGGTGGGGGGTGGCCTGGGTGGGGTAGGTGAGGAGCAAGCTGGCCCTGTGGAGGAGACACTCTAGACTGAGGATCCATAGCTTCCAAGTCAGACAGAGGGGCAAGGCAAGGAAGTCTCCATGCCACTGAGCACCAGGCTGTCTCACCCTCCTTTCTGTCTCTCATCCACAGTTACATATACGTATTGGGCAAGGAGACATTCCTCATGCGTTGGCCAGCAGATGGGGATGTGGACAAGAGGGAATTGCTGGGCCAGCTGGAGGAGTTTTCAGAATATATGCACACCCATGGCTGTCAGTCTTGAGACCCTGAGATCTTTGCTGTTCTCGGCTTGGGGGGTTGGTGGGGGAAGGGGGCTATCTCCAAGCAGGCCTGGGTCTGGGTCACTGGGATTAATCCAAAATAAAGAGCATGGAATATCCTTCCCTAATTCTGTGCATTTGTTCTTGCTCCAACATTCAGCACAACCTACCACAGGATTGTTTGGACCTGCCTCCTTCCTTTCTCCCACTCACCTACTCCATTCCAACCACATGGGTCACCTTTGTGTCTTTCCTACACCCAAATTGTTTCCCACCTCAGGGCCTTTGCACTCACTCACTGTTGCCTCTACCAAATATATCCTTCCTCCAGATCGATGCATGGCTTGAAACCATCCCATTTTTGGAGTCTGTTTAAATGTCCCTTTTCAAAGATATTTTCTTTAATGACATAACTAAAATAGGGCCTCCCTGGTGGCGCAAGGAGTTAAGCACAGCACTATGAAGCTATCCGCAGCCTCTGCAGCATGAGTTTTGTCCCCGGCAGACCAGAGAGATACCCACATGGCGCAGCAGACCTCTCCTGTCTTGCCCGCTGCTCCCCTCAGCAGTGTGTTTCAGTCAGTCTGCCTGTTCTTTTTTTTTTTTTTTTTTTTAAATTTTATTTATTTATTATTCATGCAAGCACTGGGTACAGTCAGAAGCACTGGAAGGTGAACGAATTCACCAGAGCCAGAGCGGGGAGCAGAGCAGACAGAAGGACCGAAGTACACTGCTGAGGGGAGCAGCGGGTGGCAGGAGAGGTCTGCGCACCATGTGGGACCCTCCTCCTGTGGCCGGGGAGCAGCCGGGGATTGAACTGGCGCTGCAGAGACCGCGGGCAGCTTCGCAACCCAGCACTCAACCGCTGCGCCACCGGGGAGGCCCCAGTCTGCCTGTTCTGCTCCCCGCTTTGCCTCTGGTGAATCCTCTCACCCCCCTCCCTGCACCTCTGGCCTGTACCCCAGCTCCTGTATGCATAGATAAATAAATCTTTTTAAAAAATTTAAAAAAATAGACCCCCTCTACCACTTTCCCCTTGCCCCAATTTATTCTCTCAGTAACATATATGGTATTTACTGGTTTGATTGTTAAATGGATCTTTTCCCTGTCCCACAATGTTAGGTCCTTAAGAACAAGGGTCATATCTGTCTTGTTCACTGTGGTATTTCCAATTTTTATAGGTATTTGTAGGTATTTCCAATTTTTCCCAGGGCTGGTCTATGGTAGGTAATCAGGAAATGATTGTTGAATTAATGAGTGGATGAATTTGGCACCCGCCCATAGCTGGTTTGGATGCAAGGCTCAATGAAGAACTCCAGGCAACCGGGAACTGACATAAGGGGGCAGAGGAAAGTGAACACGTTTCATCACTGTGGTCTGGGTGGGAGTGGACACCTACCAAGCCAAGCCTGTGTGGGTCCAGGGACTCCCCCCCTCAACGAAGTGCTGAAGGACTGAAAGGCATCCAAAATGGTTTGAACTTTGAGTGTGAAAGAACTGAAGGCAGGGAGGAGAAACATGCTAGAAAAGTTGTGGGACAGGCCAACTTCATAAATGGCTTCAAATACCAGATTAAAGTATGTGGGCTTTATCCAGGTATTGGGGAGCCATGGGAGGTGTTTGAGCAGCAGAGGAACTGATCAGCTTGGAGGAAAAAAGGCCCAGCTGATGGGTGAGTGGAAACTGAATTGAATTGATGGCAGGAAATTTGGCGAGGAGCCTGAAGCTGTGGGGCCACAGGATGGCCTGGAGGCAACTGCTTGAGTTCAAATTCTGCCCCCCAGCTGTATGACCTGAGCCTGACTACTTACCTCTCAGTGCTTTGACTACCTCACCTCTAACTTTATTTCCTTCTGAAAGATTTTGTGAGTCCAGCTCATAGTAAGTGTTCAATAAACTTTCACTTGTTTTACTGTCAATGCCAGCAGGAGGTGATGGGAAGAAGCAGACCTGCTGTTGTGCCCAAGGTCAGCAGACTCGGCGAGCATAGCCTCCAAGAACCCAAAGACAGCTGATGCAAACACAAAAGGGAGTTTATTTCAGACTCGAGTCCTGGTTCAAGGCACCTACCAACGCAGTGGCAGATACCAAGAGCCCCGAACAAAGGAAGCAGGGGTCTTTTAATAAGGTTAAATTATGCTGGCAGTTACTCATTGGCTACAAGGATGAGTTCTCCAACTTTGCCAGGCTATCATTCTAAGCTGACTGGCCAGGCCAAGATGCAGCTCCAACCTGCAGCTCCAATTACAGCAAGTTCACCCTCATTGGTGACCAGAGAGTAAGGGTGGAGTGAGGGTCCAAACTATCTCTGGAATGCAGTCTTTTCCCGGGACAGCAAGACCTGTAAGACCTGAAATTCTAAAATGGCAGTTACACACAAAATGACAAAGCAATGGCTAAGAATACTTATGCTCGGTTCCACACCTGCTAGAACACACATGACAGTCAGAGAAGAAAATCAGATCACAGCCTGCTCAAGACCCTCCCTGGCCCCCCACTGCTCTCATACCACGGTCATCATTGCCCTGCGCTGTGGTTCTATTACTGTAACAGGGTGGTCCCCAGGAAAGGGGGAGGTTCCAGCTTCCCTGCCCCACCCAAGGAAGGGTGGAGCTGAGCAGGGAGAGAAGAAGCTGCAGAAGAGACTGAGGAAGGAAGCTGGATGGAGCTAGGAGACCTGGAAGAGGCGCATGGAGCCTAGAGACACGTGAAGAAACTGTGCTTGTCTTTTGGTCGTGGACTGGGTGACACAGATGTGGGTGAGACCCGTGGGGAGGTGACAATGGCAGCTTTTATCTTGATGTTGATTTTGCTCTTTTCCTTCCGGGCTTGTCCGGTTGTTTGTGACCCTTTTCTGTGGGTGCCCACTGGAAGATGTTTTAGACTTGTAGCAGGCTTTGGGGCCTTGTTCTGGGCCGATCCCATTTGGATGGAGTTTTACCCACGAGGGGACGGGTAACTTTGGGTGCTTCATTTAGAAACTAGACTCTTTGCCTTTCCTGTATTGTTTCCTAGTTTTATTAAAGTTCCTTCCCATTAAAGTCTCATATGTTTTGTGTTGATGCGGTGGATGGCAGAACCCATGTAGAATAGGCAGGTTTGCGGGGTTTGGGCTGCCCCTCTCCCTGTCCTATAACATTACCTCTCTGACTTCATGTCACCCCACTCTCGACCTCACTCCACCCCACCCACACTGGCCTCTTCTGTGGTCCCCAGAAACTGCAAGTTCTATATTGCCTCTGGGCTTTCATATACGCTTCTCCCTGCACCCAGAACAGTTTTCCCATGACTGCTTTCTCTTCATCGTTCAGTCTCTGCTCAAAGAGCATAACATTAGACCTTTCCCCTGGAGTTATCCCTCACCGCAACCAATGCGTAATTATATACTAGATTCTTTACTTATATCTTTTCTTTTGTGTGTCCCCCCTACTAGACTGGGAGCCCTGAGGGAGACCGGAAGGCTGTCTGCCTCAGTCAGGTATAATTGCAGCAGCTTGCTCAGGGCCTGGCTCATAGTAGGTGCTCATTTTGCTGAATGAAAGACTAAATAAATAAAAGAGTGAATGACAATGAGAGAGAAGAAAGAAAGGAGGGAGAGCAATAAAGAGAAAGGAAAAGAGGTATGGAGGAAGGGAGAGAGGGATAAAAGGAGGAAAGACTGACTCCCGCCTTGTTTTGTACAGCCCTTGAGCTAAGGATGTGTTTTTACAGACTGAATATAACCAGAAAAACCTAGACTATTTATGATCTGGTTCTGTGTGGGGAAAAAAAATAAGCCCACCCCTGAGTTAGTGTATTAGTTATCTATTGCTGTGAAACAAATCACACCAAATTCAGAGGTATAAAGCAATATTTATTATTGTACAGTTTCTGAAAGTTAGGAATCCATAGGGAGAAGCTTAATTGTGTAGTTTGAACTCAGGGATCTCTCATGAGGCCACAATCAAGCTGTGGCAGGGGCTGCCATCCTCTAACATCTGATGGGGCTGATGGAGCCACCTCCATCTCACACAGGTAGCTCATACACATAGCCAGCAAGTCAGTAGTAGGAATTAGTGGGTGAAAGGGTTGGCGCAGTAAAGAAAAGGAGAGCCAGGCTAAGTTTCTCACAGGCAAGAAATTTATTGTGCTCACCAGCGGGCCAGGTTCACTGGCCCCCGGGGCGGGGTTGGAGAAGTCACACCTGTTGGGGGATGAGAGCAAGCTTTCATAGGGCAGGGTCTGGCCTTGGAGGGAGGTGGAGAATGCGGAATCGAAGCTGCTTTTCAAAGAAGTTTTTTCTCTCAGAACTGGTTGTTCTTTCAAGGCTGCTTATCAGGGCCCGTGCAAACCAGGCAGAGCCGGCTCCCAGGATGCAGGTGGCAGCAGTTTCAAGTTCCCCTCTCTGAACCCCATCTCTGCCCTGGGCCTCGACCTTACAGTGGGAGGACTCAGTTCCTGGCCACTTGGCTTCTTTAGTGTCCTCACAATATGAGGACAGAGTGAGTGATCCAAGAGAAAGAGCAAGGAGGAAGCCACAACGCCTTTTATGACCTAGCCTCGGAAATCACAGACCGTCACTTCTACACCATCCTCTTGTTCACATGAACCAACAGTATTTAGGATAAGTGAGAACTACACAGGCAAGACTACCAGGAGGTAGGTATCACTGTGGACCATCTTGGAGGCTACCAACACAGAAACTAAGTGGCAGAACTTGCGATTTATAGCCAAACAATCTGACTCCAGAGCCTATGTATCAATGCCGCCATTATTAGTTTCCCTCAATGGCAAAGGATGGGTACATTTTTTAAAATAGATGTTACAGTTCAGGTTAGTTTTAGATGTACTGAAAAAAATTAGAAGATAGTACAGGGAGTTCTCAGATACTCCTGCAGACGGTTTCTACTATTATCAACACTTAGAATATTAGCATAATACATTTGTTATAACTAATGAACCAATATTGCTGCATTATTATCTAAAGTCCACAGTTTAGGGTCTCCCCGGTGGTGCAGCGGTTGAGCGCTGGGTTGCGAAACTCTGCAGCGCCAGTTGGATTCCCGGCTGCTGGGCGAGGGTCCCACATGGCGCGCAGACCTCTCCTGCCGCCCGCTGCTCCCCTCAGCAGTGTACTTCGGTCCTTCTG